GGGAATAAAAGTATTCTGAGGGGAAAAAAGACATGTTAGAATGATAAAAACAATGAATTAAATCAATCGTTCACAAACTCTTCCAGAAAATAGAGGAGAGAATATTTCCCAATGAGGCCAGTATCACTCTGATACTGAAACTAGACAAAGACATTGTGAAAAAAGAAAACTACAGATGAATATTCCTTGTGAACATAGTTGTAAAAATTCTGCACAAAATGTTAGCAAACCAAATGCAACAACGTATAAGTATTATACACAATAACCAAGTGAGATTTATTCCAGGAATGCAAGTCTGGTTTAATATCAAAAAATCCATTAATAGAATACATCATATTAATAGAATAAAAGGCAAAAACCACATGATCATCTCAATAGATGCAGAAAAAGCGTTTGATAAAATTGAACACCATTTATGATTTTTTAAAAAACTCTCAGCAGGGGGCCAACCCCCTGGCCTAGTGGTTAAGTTCAGTGGGCTCTGCCTCAGCAGCCCAGGTTTGCAGGTTTGGATCCTAGGTGCAGATCTACACCACTTGTCAGCCTTGCTATGGCAGCGACCCACATACAAAATAGAGTAAAATTAGCATGGATGTTAGCTCAGGGCGAATCTTCCTCAGAAAAAAAGAAAAAAAAAAACTCTCAGCAAAAGGGAATAGAAGGGAACTTCATCAACCTAAAAAAGGGAATCTATTAAAAATTTGTAGCTAACCTTATGCTTAATGGTGAAAGCCTACATGTTTTTCCCCTAAGACTGGGAACAAAGCAAGGTTGTTTTCTCTCACAATTTCTATTTAACAATATTCTGGAGGTTCTAGCCCATGCAATTAGGCAAGAAAATGAGAGAAAAAGGCATCCATATTGGAAAAAGAAGTAAAACTGTCTTTATTCATATTCCACATGATCCTGTTTATAGAAAATCCTAAGGACAAACTACTCAATTAAAAATAGACACCTCACAAAAGCATATGAAAAGATACTCATATTATATAATTTGTCATTAGGGAAAACTACAATGAGATACCATTACACACCTATTAAAGTGATCAAAATCCAAAAAACTGACAATGAGAATTGCTAGCAAGGATACAAAGCAACAGAAACTCTCATTTATTGTTGATGGGAATGCAAAATAGCACAGCTACTTTGGAAGATAGTTTGGCAGCTTCTTACAAAGCTAAACATAGTCTTACCATATAAGCTAGCAATTGTGCTCCTACATATTTACCTAACATATTTGAAAACTTATGTCCTCACAAAAATCTCCACGTGAATGATTATGGCAACTTTATTCATAATTGCCAAAAACTGGAAGCAACCAAAATGTCCTTTAATATGTGAATGGATAAACAAACTGTGGTACAATGGAATATTATTCAGAGATAAAAAGAAATGAGATATTAAGTCACAAAAAGACATGAACAAATCTTTAAGGCATATTGCTAAGTGAAAGAAGACAGTCTGGAAAGACTACATACTATATGATTCCAATTATATGACATTCTGGAAAAGGCAAAACTATAGATATGGTAAAAATATTAGTGGTTGCCAAGCGTTTGGAGGGAGGAGAGATGGTGAAACACAAAAGATTTTTAGGGTGGTGAAACTATTCTGTATGATACTGTAATGATGAATACATGACACCATACATTTGTCAAAACCCACAGAACTTTACAGCATGAAGAGTGAACCTTAATGTATGAAAATTTTTTAAAATAATTTAGGAGGTCTGGGGGTCCCAGGATGGAATGCAGAATGTGACAAAAACATCAAATTGTGTTGCAAACGTGTGCAACAACCTCACTGAAGAGGATGGGAGGAAAAGGCACTTGCCTAAGCAGCTTTGGAAATGAGTGGAGTCTGTAAGATTAAAGGCAAAAGAAAATGTACATAAGCACTGTACTCTAGTTAGTCAAGTAGTTTCCTGTGGGAGTAAGGTTAACCTTTCTGATACCACTATACATATATGCTGCAACTGAATAATTAAGTAAAGGATGGCAGGTGGTGGGAGCCAGTTTTCTCACTGTTGGAATGGGAGGTTACAGATAAGCGAGGGGAAGAGGCTAGAATGACTCCTTAGTGATGGATTACAGTTGAAGACATCAGTTGAACTTACGTTTAGTTTAAAATAGATGGTTACATATAGAAATGTGTGTATACAGGGTTATCATACAAACAAATTTCCTTGCTGTGTCTGCTGAGAGGGCCTAAAAACAGTGATGCCCCAGTAGTAATGAGCACACCTAGCACCCAGATCTTGGTTTCTAATACCATTCTTCAATAAAAGGAACCAGGACTCCTTGGAAAAATGGCTTATTATAAGGCTGGCACAAAAAAAACATACTGTTTGAGTGTGGAGTATCTTGTAGTGCCAGAATGAAAGTGTTAGAAAAAATCACAACGATGGGAGTATGTCAAAGGGACTCAAGAGCCAACTCAAAGAGCTCCCAATGGCCATTCCTGAAACAACCAAATAAGATAGTGTTGGATTTTAACCCCAAGTATATAGTCAATATCCATGAGTCCATAAATATAAATAAATGATTGAATAAATAAGTAAATAGGGAAAAATAGACAAATTTCCCATAAAGAAGAATTCCAAATAATGTATGTAGATACTCTGCCCTCAAGGAGTTGGGACATAACTCCTTAACTGTGAGATACTATCAGTGACTTTCTCCCAAGTACGGTATGGAAGGGGGTAAGAAAGAGCAACTTTACAGTGGAGAAAGCTGACAAACACTGTCTCATCTAGGTGATCGAGTTCAGCATCAACAGTCATAAATGGGGCTGGCCCGGTGGTGCAAGCGGTTAAGTGCGCGCGCTCCACTGCGGCAGCCCAGGGTTCGCCAGTTCGGATCCTGGGCGCACACCGACGCACTGCTTGGCAAACCATGCTGTGGTGGTGTCCCATATGAAGTGGAGGAAGATGAGCATGGATGTTAGCCCAGGGCCAGTCTTCGTCAGCAACAAAAGAGGAGGATTGGCAGATGTTAGCTCAGGGCCGATATTCCTCACCAAAAAAAAAAAAAAAACCAGTGATAAATCATTTGATAATGTGTACCCTTGATACAATATGATGAAAATGGCACTTTATCCCTGTGGCCTTCCTCCCAAAAACACATAACCCCAGCCATGAGGAAAACATTAGGAAAATCCCAACTGAAGATCATTTTAGCAAACGCCTGACCAGTACTCTTTGAAACTGTCAAGATCATCAAGAACAAGGAGAATCTGAAACTGTCACAGTCAAGAGGAGCCTAAGTGACAACTAAACATAATGTGGTATCCTGGATGGGATCCTGGAACAGAAAAAGGACATTAGGTAGAAACTAAGGAAATCTGAATGAAGTGTGGACTTTAGTTAATAATGTATCAATATTGTTTCATTAATGGTAATAAATGTATCATACTAATATTAGATGTTAATAACAGGGGAAACTGGATGTGGGGTATATAAAAATTGTCTTTACGGGGGCCAGCCTGGTGGCGTAGTGGTTGGGTTTGCACACTCTGCTTCGGCAGCCCAGGGTTTGCAGGTTCGGATCCTGGATGCAGACCTACACACCACTCATCAAGCCATGCTGTGGTGGCATCCCACATACCAAATGGAGGAAGAGTGGCACAGATGTTAGCTCAGGGACAGTATTCCTCACACACAAAAAAAAATGTCTTTACTATCTTGGCAATTTGACTATAAATCAAAAACTCTTCTGAAATAAAAAAAGTTTACTTTTTAAAATGGGCGAAAGATTTGGATAGATATTTCACCAAAGAAGATACATGAGTGGCTAATAAGCCCAAGAAAAGATACTCAACATCATTAATCATTGGGGAAATGAAAAGTAAAACAAACCACATTGAGATACCACTACACGCTCACTTAAGTGACTGTCATCAAAAAGATGGGTAACAAGTGTTGAGAAAGATGTGGATAAAGTGGAACTCACATACATTGCTGGTGTGAATGTAAAATAGTACTACTACTTTGGAAAAGAGCTTGCCCATTCCTTATAAAGTTTAACATAGATTTATCCTGAGCGATATAGATTTAACTAAGCAATTCCATTCCCTTATGTATCAACACAAGAGAAAGTAAAACAAATGCCCAAAGACTTGCACGCAAATGTTCATAGCAACATTATTATAATAGCCAAGAAGTGGAAACAATCCAAATGTCCCTCAAGGGGTGAATAGATAAACAAAATGTGGTATATCCATACAATAGAATACTACTCAGTGATGAAAAGGAATGAACTACTGATACACATTACAAATGAAAGAACCTCATGCTAAGTGAGAAGAAGTCAGATGCAAAAGACTTCATATTGTATCATTCCATTCATAGGAAATGTCCAAAAAAGGCAAATCTGTAGAGACAGAAAGCATATTAGTGGTTGCCTGGGACTGGGGTTTGGAATGTGGATTGACTGCAAACAGGCTTGAGGGATCTTGGGATGATAGAAATGTTCTACAAATGAATTGTAGTGATGGTTCTTAACTTTGTAAATTTACTAAAAATTATTGACTTGTACACTTAAAACAGGTATAGTCTTCAAATTATATCTCAGTAAAGCTGTTAAAAAAGGTAATGCTTTGTCATTACCAAAAAGCTCTTATTAAGTGTTTATTGCTCAGAATAAATAGGAAAAGACCTATCTAAATTCTTACAAATGGAGAATCAAATTTTGACAGTGACATAATGATGATTTATAGGCCTAACTATGCTATTTTTCCAGATTATGTTATCTTTCCAGTGAACTTATCTCATATATTTCGAGAGGATGTAAAGAGAAAAGATGAAAATTTTGAAGGTGTATGAGTGCCTTATAAAACTTTGATAAAATAATTATGTTTAATATATCTTCCAAAAAGGTTATAAAAATAGTCTAAGGTATTTTTACTATCTAAATTTCTAGCACGTATAAATAGAAAACTATACGTTGAAAGCTTTCCAGAACATACATAGGAATTATATGCTGGATTTTTTTTCCCCAAAGATTGGAATAGATGGATGTGGAAAAGAAACTTGTGCAACCTTGGCCTGTTATTTGACAGAACACAAACTGTACCGAGTTCCTACGTCTCACAATTACGCCTACACAGAATTCAAAGAAGACTTTAAAAAGGTGTTTATTCAAGCAGGATTAGAAGGGAACCCCACTCTTTTGATAGTAATGAATTTAAACCCGGATCAGGTAAGTGCTTTTTGTCTTTATTATTTGCCAATGTTTGATATTTAAGTAGCTCCCCCAAAATTTAATATTTGAAAAGAAAATATTTATCTATAGTCCTATTAACCTACCATATCAATTCCTTTCATTATTCTCTGTCCTTATCCAGTCATAGCCCGTAGAGTTCATATATTTTTAATCATGCTGTAGATAATTTTGCATAAGCATTACAACAAAAGCATTTTCTATGTCTTTATAATTTTCATTTTAATTGACAAATTGGAAGTAATTTATCTATATGGCTGAAGCCATCCATCTTATAGCTGAGCTAGTTTTGTGATCTGTGTTTTTAAAAAAACACTATTGGGGCGGCCCAGTGGCATAGCGGTTAAGTGCACGCGCTCCACTTCAGCGGCCCAGGGTTCGCAGGTTCAGATCCCGGGCGCGCACTCCGATGCACCACTTGTCAAACCATGCTATGGCGGCGTATAAAGTAGAGGAAGGTGGGTACAGATGTTAGCCCAGGGCCAGTCTTCCTCGGCAAAAAAAAGAGGAGGATTGGCATCGGATGTTCGCTCAGGGCTGATCTTCCTCACAAAAAAAAAAAAGAAAAAGAAAAAATGCTATCATCTATATCCACTCTCTGAGCATGTAATCCACAGTGTGCGCTACGGCACTGAGGCTTCTGTTTCTCTCCTTTATCCCTCTAATTTCCCCCATCAAGTTTAGGATTTTCCTTACAGGATATGCTTTATTTATATACAAGCAAAAAATGTTAATCACCCAGCTTTTAAAAAAAAATCTGTTGTTTTGCATAAGTTATACCCTCTACAGCCAAAACATAATTAGAAATACCATCTCAGATAGTATTTACTTCTTTGTGGCAAAATTTCAAGGGAACGTTGTTTGTTATCTATGACCCAGAAATGTATAGTTATTAGTATTGCTTCAAACTCTCATCTTGTTTTTTCTCCTAATACAGGGCCTCTCTCTCTAGAGTTGTGTTTTTCTTTCATGTCATGTTTTGAGAGTAATTCTAAGTGCCATGTCACATCTTCTGTACTCCAAAATATCCAGTTGTTCTGCTTTAGCTAAATGTTCTCCCCTTCCCAAATTTAAATATCCTGCTCTATTGATCTGGTCGAGGTTTCTACCAGAGACTCTCTCACCGGATTTCAGAAAATGTAGTTTCTCCCGTGCCAGGAGCCTAGTATTCTAATTTAGGAAATCCTTTTTTAGAAAACCACTATCAGGTCAGAGCTGAGATGAACACGGCTCCTCTACTCCCATGTTATTAAGGACTTCAAGGCCATCGGATCTCCCTTCTACACTTTCCAGGTTTCTTCTGGCTTCGTCATTGCTTTCCGTGTGAATCAAAAAAATAGTGTTATGGCTTTGTTAAATTACCAATTGTTAGGTGGAGCACAGGGTGCCAGATGGTGAGCCATGGTTCAACAAATGACACAAGAGAATTTGAAATAGAGAAGTTTATTACTCAGAGGTTCTCCTAGAGGAAGTACGCAGCACACCTCCAGGGGCCACATGGGGAGTCCAAGGCAGAATGCAGACAGAGAGAGGCAGGACCTGGGGCAAATGCCTTTATTAGGGCTCGTGGGTGGAGTTCTTTGGGGTTCCCAGGCTAGAGAGGGATTGGTCAAATCAAACCCAAAGAGTGGAGTTTTGGTAGGCCCTAGGGGGTCTTATCTAAGGGACGCATAAAGCATACAGGTCCTGGGAGGCAGGGAGACTGTTGATCGCAAGGGCTGTTGGGGAAGTCACATCAGGAACTTACATTTGCTTGTGACTCTGCAGGCTGCTATCTAGGGCATGTGCTTGTATGAGGGGCTAGTGTCAGTTTAAGGATCCCACAGACCACTTGGCCAAACAAAATGGATGCCGAGGCAGCAATACCGTGGGGTAGCTGAGTTAAATTCTCGACAAGTGGGTAACGATCAGTGTGTTTAATAAGCATTGGTGGTTCTCCATCATGTCTGAGGTGAGACAGGAAATCAGCTAGCCCCATGTCACCTCTGTTGGCCTCTACCGGAGACTGCCACCAGCTCTCTGCCCTTCCCCACCTGGGCTGAAATACCAGGACCTGTGAATGTCTGAGGAGCAGCCTGAGGAGTAGATAATGCTAATGATGCTTTTTCTTTTAAAGAAAGCTTGGATTTATTCTCAAAACCAAAACGTTCATAATTTTTTATAGTAACTCCTCTGGTAGAGTTTCTTTCAGTGCTCTTTCTCCTCTGTTACCTTTCCCATTTGATTTGAAACCCTTTATAGAGATGAACTTGGTTAAATTAAAATAACTTTTCAGCCATGTTATTCTTAGTTTGTGTAGTATTCAAACACAAGTATAGATGTATTGAGGGCTTCTACAAACTGAAGCAGAGTCCCTGCTCAATTCATTATTGCATCCACCCCTCCCACACCTCTTGCCCCAGTGCATAACACAGGTGTTTGGCATGCTGTCAGTACCAAATATATGATTCTCTAATGTTTGAATGAATGAGTGGATCAATGAAGCTTATTTTGACTCAGAAAAAAATATTTTTAATGGATTTGAACTGAGAGAAGTTTAGTTTTTTTAAAAAATTAACCTCAATTCTTCTGAAACACTATTGCTTTCTCAATTTGATGTGTTTAAGGTAGAATATACGAACAATGTACTCACTCCTGATTAAATATATGTTTCACCTTAGGAGTCATTTTTGGAAGATTTGAATGGCATTCTCAACTTAGGAAAAATGCCTGACTTGTTTGAAAATGAGGAGCTGGATTCTATTGCACTAAGGATTAGATCTCTGGCCGAACATTCTGGTTATATTGATAATAGGCAATCTTTACTTTCATTCTTCCAAAAGGTATGTTTTTGTGAGTTGGCTCTATAAAATTGTAGTATTAAATTAAAAGTAGACTACATTTATAATTCTGTATATGATTTTCAAGTTGGATAATTTCTTGAGTTCTTTAAATGAGTTGTTCAAGCTAAAATAATGACTGCCATCCCTACACATGGGCACACCATTCTCTTAGGCAGGACAAAGATTAAAAAGGATCTGGGCCTGACTGGCTGTCAATGGCTTAAAAAAGTCATAACAGCTGGAGGCAATGACAAGAGAACTAAGATCCCAAGATTATTTCTTACACTGAGATCCCTTCCTAGCCAATGACGTTTTCATTTCGGTCAGGTTGGTAACAAGTCTGGGAAGGCAAGAAGGAGGAATTCTTGCATCCCTTTGAATAGCCCCAGAATTGACCAGGAGGGATAAGTACAGAAAGAAATCAGCCAGATAGAGCAGATGATATTCAGGATGAACTCAGCAGTGAGGTAGCTATGAAAGGACCAGTTTGATGAGAGATACAGACTACACCAATGAACTAGGCTTTCTGGGTCTGTAAGGCTTGATGACTGACCAATGGCTTAGTGAACAGATAGATATGATTCCCCAAACCAAAATGTTCATCAGGGAAGTGCCACAGGTCAACTTACTTCTGGTTCCAGTTCCTGCCTATCATGGAGTCATTTGAAAATTGAACTACGCCAACCTCCATTCTTCAACAAATAATTAGTGATCTGGCACAAGAAGAAGATATAAAAAATTCCAGAAATGGAATCCCCAATTGAGAGAGAACAATATCGCATGAATGGGTGCTGGATTGAGTTATATTTTAAAATGCCATGATAGGAAGGAGGAGAGAAGTTATCCTGATAACTTGTGGCACTCTAGTGCCTTGTTGCTAAACTAGTTTGTCCAACAGATTGCGAGTGATAAAGAAGAACAAAGAAATTCCGATCTGGAGTGTGGAGAATAATGTACTCCAGCAATAAAAAATAAACCAAGAACTCCAGTTAGAAATCAATTTTAATTGTATATATGTATATATGTGTGTATATACGCATATATACATACCATATGTCCAAAAACGATTTGAAATGTCTTACAATAATAACAAACAGTGAGGGCACGCTTTAACCTGTTAACATTGGCTATCTTCAAGCAGGAGTTTGGGGATGAGTAAAGCAAAGAAAGGTAATTTCGTTTTTAATGTAAACATCTCTGTATTTTATGAATTTTGCATTGAGCAGTTTAATTTGCTTTTATAAATTTTTTTAAAGACAAAAAGAGGGGAAAATCTTACACTTTAGTCTTCTTTCAGCTTACCATACTTACTTGACAAAATAAGATACCTGATACTCAAAGATATTATCACTTTGTACAAATGGAACTTTTTGAGTCAAAAGGAACGTTGACTCACTGAGGCTGCTTTCAGTAATGTGGTTTTATTTTAAAGTGTCATAGAAATGGGGAAGGAACCTGTGCCCCATGGCCAGTTCTTCCGAGAAGCCAGGAACCGCAGCAGCACAGCCGGGTCTTGTTGGGGAAAAGGATGCAGGCAAACTTCATGGAAACGAGCACTTTGCCTAGGACCTCCAAAATTGTGTAGGATCTAATATTGCTTAGCTGTAATCCTTCAGCTGTAGGAGTTTATTAGCATCTCCCTGGTGCTCTACCCACAACATTGGTCTCTGTTTCTCTCCCTGTCTTTCAGCTTTAATTCATCTGACTGTTTCTCACTTTGAGTTTCTGCGGGTCTTAAATGCACACCACCCCAGAGGAAAGAGTTAAACTGTCATTGCCATCACCATTTGATATATGGTTCCCTACTGAACAGTAGTCCAGACCCCCTCATAAGAGTTGGTTTATACAAGGGATGTTCTGGAGTTCAGTGCCTGCCCCCCACAGTCCGTTCAGCTGAAGCCAAGACGGTGGGGTCACGTAGAGCAGAAACCGGCTGCTTTCCTAGAAGAGCTCTGTGGGACTTGTAGTCTCCCTTGGAAGGGCTCTGGTTATGGGAGGCTCTCAGTGTACGATTGACCAGTCTCTAGTCCACCCATTAAGGAAAGAATTGAAACAAGTTTTAAATATAATTTTCAATATAATATTTTTTTAAATGGAGTGTATTACATTTTAACAATATATATTTTCATTAATTTTCAGAGAATATATAAAAATCTTCATATTTTTATGACCATGAGTCCTGCAGGACCTAACTTCCGCCAAAACTGTAGAGTCTACTCTTCTATGATTAGTGCCTGCACAATCGACTGGTATGAGAAGTGGCCAGAAGAAGCTCTTCTTACGGTAGCCAATTCTTTCTTAAAAGAAAAGGTGGATTTAGAGAACAGAGAGGTAAATATAACCTCTTTAAAAAACTAATACGAGGGAAAGTTTCAATTTATTAACAGGATCTGGCAATATCATGTCTCTGAAGAGCAATGAAGCGTAGGTGGGCAAAAATAGGCAGCTCTAGGCAAAATTATGAAATAGGTCAAGTGTTTGTCTTGACTCTTATCAATTCCCCATCTCTTTTACCCCTAACTCATCCTATTTCAAAGATGCCCAAATTCCTCACTGCCTGGGTCTCTTCACTATTCTGCCCCCCTGGTGAACAGCAGATTTCCGTGAAGGAAAACAATCCCCGTTTTGCATACCAGATCCTGTGGAAAGAATACTGCAACCTTCTGTGCATCCTTGTAAATTTCTCTTGCGACCTTACTTGTCCAAGTGTTCAAGGAAAGCAAAGGCCGAGAAGGGTGGAGACAAGGTGGAAGCAGGAAGAAAATGCAGCTGGGTTAAACATGACCAGGTGACTGGGTAGGCTTGGTGCACTGGAGATGGGTAACCAGGGCTAGGTTATGTCCAAGTCAGAATTCTCTCCAAAGCTGGGCAAGGGGGGCACTCTTTCTGCTCTAATTTTCCTACCTATGTATCTATCTATCCTTTGAGCCCTTATATTTTTGCAGCTTTATTTTACTCAAGGAAGTTGAGTATCTTGCTATTGGTAACCTACTTTAAAAAAGGAAGATGGAAGGTAAAGAAAGCACCATAAACCTTGGCCATTGACAATGGTGCCCTAAATCCTTGGATGGCTGTAGGAGAAGTGAGGGTAAAGCCTAGTGGAATGAGTCTACATGACGTTAATCATCATCCATATTGTTGCCTCTTCCACCCTGACGCCACCTCAACCATTAAAACTCATATATTCTTGGTTCCATCCATCCAAGGCCTTTTTCTATATCTCCACATCTCAGAAATGATAAAACTATTTCAAGTTAATCACATTGTTCAATTTTCTCTTTTTTGTGTATATTTGGATTGCTTTCTCTTAGTTCTTAAAAATTATTATTTTTTAGAACTTAAATGAAAAACTTGCCCCAACATGCGTCCAAATCCACAAAAGTATAAAAGACTTGAGCGCAAAATACTTTCAAAACGCTAGAAGGCATTATTCTGTCACTCCCAGTAGCTACTTGCGATTCATGGATACATTTGCACACATTTTGAGGTCACGAGAGGAGGAAATGCAAACAAAGAGGTAAGACTTTGAGACCAAATCAGAAATATATATATTTTACATTGGTGCTTTTATTTGTAAAAAGAAACACAAATACAAAATTGTGAGCCCAAATCTGCATTTTCAGTGGAGGAAAAAGGCAGAAGCTGCAGAAGACCTTAAGAGAGGAAAGGTGGATATCTCCCCTGTGGGCACTCAGAGGCTGCTCCCGTCAAGGCAAGGCTGACAGATTCAGCCAGTAAAGAGGCAATGAGCCCTTGTTAGATTCAGACAGTCTATTACTCACATAGACAATGAAAGCAGGAGTAGCCAAAGGTACCACTCCCCATGTCCCTTATCCCCTGGGACAACACCAAAATAAAAGGAGCCAGATGCCTGCAACACGGGTAGTGGGACACCCTGTTGCTGAGGAGCCCAGGTCATGCTGCAGCAAAGCAGTGTTACAGCCTCCGGCTGTGCCTGGGAAGACAGGGGAGAAAACATGAGGCAGAAAGTCTCACACCTAGTCAAAACCCAGAGACAGTCTCATGACAGTCTCCCAGGAAGATAAGGAAGTGAATGGGAAATGGCCTTGTAGCGTCTCCTCACAAGCATCCCATGCTCTTGTGTTCTAGGAGGAGCATGAGGTGTTCCGCCAAGACTTAGATCAGTTGCAGTTAAACTTTGCCTACATGACCTATGTGGAGACATGAAGGGTTGCTAGGGTGCCATGGTGGAGCCATATCTCTACAACACCATCCTCCAACCTGTCAAGTATCCAGCTAAGAAAGAATAGGCCACCCTATTAGATACCTTAATTAATTGTACTAATAGGGGCTTGGACCAAATCCATTCTATTTGTCTTAGGCAACATTGGATGAGAGTAGCCATAACCATGACTCCCACTTGGAGGATAGACCACAGCCAGGCTCCCTGTCTGGAGCCAAGCCAGTTAAAAATGTTACTAATCCAGGTGCATCAAGAGGCATTGGCAGTCACACATACTCTGCCTTAAGTGACTAGCAAGAAGCCCAGGGCAATGAAATTTGTCATCACCACTCATGCCAGAGAGTTTAGACTAGTTCGTGTGTGGCAGACAAGCATACGTCTGACATTTACATAAGAAGTAGTAGCAACCTCAACAGCAGCATTTTGCTAATGTGGGATCAGGGTGTGATTTTGTTAAGTTTTTGTTAACAGGTCAGGTGGGGCATGGCAGATTCAACATCAGTTAAATTTAGAGCAGTTGGTACAGTCTGTGAATACAGTGAGTCTAAAAGGAATCATATTAGTTCAGCAAGTTAATGTTCTATTGTTTTAAGTAAAGTTTTAAGCTGTTCACTCCTGGAGTTAGCAGCTCCTGGAAGTTTCTGCAAGTCCTTAGATTAAGATTTTTGTTGGTCAGTGATTAAATTGAGTGGTGGCAGCAGTCTGGGTAAATCGGCCAGCTGCCCTACAGACAACAGTCAAGAGAGATTACTGGATTCTCCTTCCACCTCTGATCTTCTAAGGTGTTTCTAAGGTGTCCCCCTCCCACCACCCAGGGTTGTTGCTTTCCATTCACCTCCATGTGATTGGTGTGACCAGTCCCTGTCACAATGACGCACCCTTTTTCCAGTGTTGCCCAAGTCTTACCCTCACCATGTACCCAGACACATCCCTAGGTGGCTCAATAGTTTCTTCCTTATATACCTTGTACTATCCTAGAACATCTCCCACTCTCTGATGTGTGGATCATACCAGGATCACTTGAGAGTTGTCACCTGACATGCATGATCCTTATCATCAATTATACACAACTGCTCATACCCATCAAGAATAGCTGGGTGGTGAAAGAAGCACCAGGCTGCAGGTTCCCACTCGCCAGCACTTCTTTGCTACTCACAGATTCCAGTAGCCCAGTTTCCCAGGGGTAGACGTGGAAGAAAAAAAAGTGGGAAGGCTTAATTATTTGGTTTGGGTCTCTTACAGCCAATCCACACCTCTTCCCACCCAAAAACTCATAATGAAACATTCTGTTTAAATGAGAAGTATTTCTGGGAAATTATCACATTTAAAGCCCAAATAGCCTGTCTTAAGTGTGTGCTCCCCGGGGAGCTGAGCTTCAGTTGTCCAGTTATCTTTTTCAATTTTTCCTTTGAGTCCATTTATTTTTAATAGCACCTGCTTCTTGGGGATGATGTGTTTACAGATTAAATGCTAATCACAGTATCTGACCTATACAACACATGACAAATAATAACTCTCTTTAAATAGGTGAGTAATATAAATAGACTTGTATTTTAGGAAGATCACTCAGATATTAGAATGGGGGATAAATTGGAGAGACACAAGAATAAACACAAAGAAGATGTGAAAGCCACTGTAGTAATCCAGAGGAGAAGTTCTGGGGACCTGTCCTAGAGTGCGATCAAAGAATAAAACACTGAAATTATCTACATAATTGACAATTTAAAGGGCATGGGTGATGAAGTTCTTTTAGATTATGAAAGCCCAAGAAGTAGAAACCATATTTTCCGTTTCTTTAAAAATGCTCCATAGCACTTGTCACCTCTCTTGCTAGAGTTAGGACTAAAATTTTGTTGGCTAATAGATTTGTAGTCTTCTAAGTTTAAAATATTTATTTTTATTTTATTCCATACAAACTGTATATTTTCACCTTTTTATTCTAGCGAGTATGTAAATGGAAAATTTTCAACTTTACCTTATAGCTGTTTTTAAAAAAAAAAAAACTTTTTGTTTTGAAATAGATTCACAGGAAGTTGCAAAAATAGCAGACAGAAGTCCAAGGTACCTTTTACTCAATTTCTCCCAATGGTTACATTTTACATAACTACAGCACCATATCAAAACCAGGAAATTGGCATTGGTACAAAGTGTGTATATAGTTCTATGCCATTTTATCTTATGTGTAGATTTGTGTAATCACAATAGCAATCAAGATACAAAACTATTCCATCACCACCAAAGATGTCCCTTGTGCTACCCCTTTAGAGCCACACTCCCTCTTCCTCCTCTTATTCCAAATCCCTTGCAACCACTAATCTGTTTTCTATCTCTACAGTTTTATCTCTTACACAAAGGGAATGGGGTTGGCTTTGCTCGGCATAATGCCTTTGAAATTTATCCAAGCTGTTGCGTGTATCAATAGTTTGTTCCTTTTTATTGCTAAGTAGTATTCCATGATATGGATATACCATAGTTTGTCTAAGTACTCGTCCATTGAAGGAATTTGGGCTGTTTCCAATTTGGAGTGGAGCTGCTATTAACATTTGTGTGCAGATTTTTGTGTGGATGTAAATTTTCATTTCTCTAGGGTAAGTGCCAGGAGTGTGAATGTTAAGTCATATGGTAAGTGTATGTTTACTTTTTTTAAGAAAATACCAAATTGTTATTCAAAGTTGCTGTACCATTTTACATTCTCACCAGTGTTTGAGAGAGCCAGCTTTTCTACATCCTTGCAAGAATTTGATGTTGTCGCTATTTTTTATCCTAACTATTCTAATAAGTGCATAATTATATAGCATTGTGATCTTAACTTGCACTTTTCTAATGGGTAGTGATGTTGAACGTCTTTTCATATGCTTATTTGCCATCCGTATGTCCTTTTCAGGATATATAGCTTCATATCCTTTGCACATTTTCTAAATGGATTGTTCGATTTTTTCATTGTTGAGTTTTTGTTTGTTTGTTTTTTGGGGAGGAAGATCAGCCCTAAGCTAATATCTGTGCCCATCTTCCTCTATTTTGTATATGGGATGTGGCCACAGCATGGCTTGATGAGCAGTGTGTAGGTCTGCACCCGGATTCTGAACCTGCAAACCCCAGGCTGCCGAAGCGGAGCATGTGAACTTAACCACCATGCCACCGGGCCAGCCCCTCATTGTTGAGTTTTGAGTGTTCTATACATATTCTAAATATGAGTCCTTTGTCAGATACTATGGATTACAAATATTTTATTCCATTTGGTAGCTTGATTTTTCATTCTCTTAACTAGGTCTTTCACAGAGAAAAGGATTTGAAATTTGATGAAGTCCAATTTATGAATTTTTTTTCTTTTATGAATTGTGCTTCATGTCTAAGAACTCTTCACCAAGCCCTAGATCCCAAAGATTTTCTCCTATATTTTCTTCTAAAAGTATTATAGTTTTGCCCTTTACATGTAATTCTGTGGTCCATTTTGAGTTAATTTTTGTATAAGGCATGAGGTGTAGACCAATGTTCATTTTGTATAGCCAATTGCTTCAGCACCATTTGTTGAAAAAACTTTCCTTCCCCTATTGCTTTTGCACCTTTGTCAAAAATGAGTTGACTCTACTTGTGTGGGTTTATCTCTGGCTTCCCTATTCTGTTCCATAAATCTACACGTCTGTCCCTCTGCCAATACCACATAGTCCTGATTACTGTCAACGTATAATCAGTCTTACAATCAGGTAGGGTGAGTCCACTCACTCTATTCTTCTTTTTCAAAATTATTTTAATTGTCCTAATTCGTTTACCTTTCCATATAAATTTTAGAATAAGCTTGTCTATGTCTACAAAAAAATCTTACTGCAATTTTGATAGGAACTGCATTTAAACTAAATATCAATTTGGGGGGAATTGACATCTTCACCATGTTGTCTTTCAACCCATGATCACAGTATCTTTTGCTTTGCTAATATTTTGTTATATCTTATACCTTCTTCATACTTCTTTTTATTTCAGGAATCGTTTCCATCTGGGTCTATCCAAGATCCTGGAAGCAACTGCTCTAGTTACAGATATGCAGGAGGAGCTCTTGATTCTTGGCCCTCAAATAGAACAAAAAACAAAGGTATGTTTGGTTTGAAATCTCTTTTAAAGATTTTATGGCTTAATGTAAAACAGTGTTTGAAAGCAAGGACTCTGATACTTGACAAATGTGGGTTGGAACTCCAGCTTTCTTACCAGGCAGCTGTGCAACCTCTCTTGGTCTCAATGTTCTTATTGGTAAAAATGAGGAAAACAATAAAGCAATTTAGTAATGTCATTATATTTTAGTAATTAAAGGTGATAAGAGGTGTATAGCTAATTGTGAAAGCTCACAAAGAAAAATTCCATAGTTATTAGTTAAATCTATCTGAAATGTGCTGTGGTAACTTGCAATGTGCCAAGTATCCTAAAACTCATGCTTATATTCTTTATGTGTATTGTATGAAATGATACTTATTGTATTCATCCTTATTAGTTTATTAAACAAATATATTTCAACCTGATTTTGATAAATTTCGTAATAATGAAATGAGCTATTTGAATTTCTCTTTAAAAAAAAGATACCATGTCTCTTAAAATTCATTCTAAGAAGAATCGTTTGGTTCATTAGGAAAAAGAAATCCTAATGGAAAAACTACAGAAAGTTTCACAAGTGGTTGAGAAAGTTCAGATGCTTGTGAAACAGGATGAAGAAATTATGGCAGAAGAAGTAAGAATTGTAGAAGATTATGCTCAGGTAAAATTTAAATATAACCAATAAAGATCATTAGAGATTTGCAAAATTACTCCCTAACCCAAAAATTTAAAGGTCAGACTGACTGCTCTTAAATATATAGTGCCCCAACTTCGGATACCTTTAATTTTTATTTCAACAAACATTTATTAAGTACCTATGACATGCAAGACACTGCTAAATGAAAACAAGGGGTACAAAGACACAGAGTTCCTGCTCTTGAGAAGCCTGCAATCCTCGGAAAAGAGAGATAGGCCGGTTCTTCTGGTTACAATGAACAGAAACTCATTCAGGCTGTCTCAGAAATATGCATGGCCTCCAAGAGGAACATGCGCAGGAAACGAAGCAACTCTTGGCACTGTCTATCTGGTGTCTGTCACTTCTCTCATTGACGGAATAATCCTCACTTTTTTAAACTGGCCAAGTCCCCTCCATACTCTCCAGTCACAATCCCAGCGGGAATCAGTATGGCGTAGCAAATTAACAAATGCTCAGCCCTAGTCTGATCAGTAGCTACTCCTGCTCAGAAGACGTGGAGAGGGGAGTTTCTGCTGTCTTCCGTGTGCGAAAGTTTTAATCAAGCAGCACTACCAATTAAAAAAAATGTATATAAGCCTATACCCCCAATATGTGTGTGTAATGATTCGTTTATAAATTGTATACATGAGCTACCATCATTAAGCTAATATCCCAAAGCACAATAAATGCCCAGGGGAAGGTTTATTATGAATAGTGAATGTGAAAATATATTTTAAATAGTCCTCTTGGTAATTTCTAAATTTTTTGGCTGGCTTTTTGTCAGATCAGATTAGATCGTCACTGTTTTTACCTTATAACATGGCTGAAGCAGAGTTCACACCAGGGATAAGAGAAGTATCAAACTGCCTTTTTCCCACTGTTCACTTGTACTTCCATTATTCGCATTGTCTTCAATCCCAGGTTTCTTTCAGAAACCTTGTTAAGCTGCCTGTTCATGTTTTAAGGGCTGATTTACTTCAGATAATGTAATGGGTGAATCCCCTTACTTGGACACAGGTAAACTGCAGGGCTTCCTAATGTGCTGAGTGTTTAGGAAATGGGGAGACCACCACTGCCGACCCTTCCAGCTTGTGAACTTCCCCTCTTCCTCAAGATGCCACATGAGTCTGAGTGTGAGCGACCCATAACCTCTCCTGGGCCTACCACGTGAAGGGGCCACTGTTAACCACTGTATTAAATACGAGTACAGCTTAACTTCAGCCTTTAATTTTTTAGGCCAAAAGAAAATGGATATAGAGGAATTAATGAGGTTTTTTTGCTATACCACAAGGGGCAGTCTGGCTTCAGAGGCAAATCCAGGTTTTGTAGGACGTGAAGATTATAAAAATTTGAGGCCATATTTTTTTTAAAAGAATATAAAATTACTAGTTCACAGTTAAAAATGAAAGTGAATATTTATTTAGAATAAGTAAAGAAATCAAACAAAATACAAATTTTTAAAAGCTGACAATTACTACAAGCATCACAAAATCTAGAAAAATAACATAATAATGTTTAGTAATTAACAGCCTTACACACTCTGTAATACTTTTTTTCTACGTTTTTTCACTGCATGCTCTGTAATCACTTGTTCATATGATAACGATTTTGTAATATCATTTCCTACAGAATCTTTAGCCTAGTTGATCAAAATGTGTTTCTCATTTTTGATAGTTTAGAAAAGTTTCTTTCAACTTCATAACTCATCATTGATAATGTCATGAACATTTTTAACATTGCTATCAAATTTGGTATAAGCAGCAATAGCATTTCAAGATTTCTTGTGTGGTGATTAATTTTAAATACTTTTTGAATTCAGAACATTCGTTAACCAGTTCTCCACCAATATCTTCCTTATAGAGGTATTTTCTGATATTTATATTTTTATTAATGTCACTACTTCTTACAAACTCAACCAGAAACTTGAATTTTTCCAATGTGATCATATGATGCATTCTTCTTCATTAATTGGATTATTAAACAGACCAAAAGCCAGATCATTACTTCTATCCTAAATTTATTTTTTTCTCCTAATAAATTATTGCTTTGGTATGATGTGAAAATTTTCATTACACTTCGCTCCTTGATATCAAAATAATCTTTATTGATTTCAACACTCAATCACTTTTGTTTAACATTCCCCAAATTTTTGTCTTAATTATTTACTTGTATATAAAAATTAAAAATTATAAGTAAGATCCCTTCTATATATATCTATATAAAGAATCTGCAATTTGTCACTTATTTCATTGAGACATTCCAAAACATCTTTCCAAATGCAGTAATTATTACCTAAAAACTCAGGGATTCTGATGAATTCTTTTTGCATAACTCCCATCAAAAAAAGGGAAAATGCATGGTAGGTTTGGAATAATATGTGCTCTGTTATCAAGTGTACTCATGAAGGAGTGAACTTCCATTTTGAGTAGGTGTCAAAGAGAATCTAACCTTCTACTTACAATTTTATATATCTAATAAACGAAAGGATTTTCTACAGACCAGAGTCTGGATCCATACTTTGCAAACCTTGTTTCTCCCCCCTTACCCACACACTTCTGGTGCTGGGTACTATAGTACAAGTTTATATTACAGTATGACCTCTGGCCCTGCACCTTAATGCCACATCACCAGGAGAGTTGGGGCAGTGGACAACAGAAGTATTTTTAGAAGAGATGCCTATTTGCGATAGTTTGCGATAACTTAATTATACAGAGAGGTGACTGTGAGCAATATAAATATAATTCCCAACTCAACCCCTTAGCCAGATCCCAAAAAATGTCCACAGCCATTCCAGTGCCACCTGACATGATAGGAAACCTGAAAAAAAAACAGAGTCAAAATATAAAGAGAAATTGGTCTGAAATGATTGCAGTTAAAATGTCTTACTTTTGCAAATCTAATGAAAACTTAGGACCCTGCAAACATGTCGGTAGAGCTCCTTCCAGGGCCTTAGAAGGCACTGTGCAGGTGAGGGACGCTAAAACTGAAGCTTCATTAGATTTACAGTAATTCCACAGTTCACTGGACAGCTCATCAAAAGGACATTGTTAATACTACACTGAGTCTGATAGAGAAGGCAGACACCACTCAGTGTTTTTGCTTCTCACAGATAGCTTCTCATCAGGGATTGACTAATACGCTACATTTAGGCCTATAACACACATTTCCTACGGTATAAGTGTGTGTATACATACCTAAGTCATGCAAGTTGCATAACTTATGGGCATTGTAAAAATGTCAGATTATATCTTCCAGTTCAAAATATAAATTTTAAAATCTGCAACTGTATTAATTCATATGTATTTGGGGGTTATAACTTTATTGCAGAAAACTGCCAATGAACTAAAAAGTGTACTGCCAGCTGTAGACAAGGCAATTGCGGCTCTGAATGCCTTGGATAAAGCTGATGTTGCTGAATTAAGGTGAGTAATTTACCCGAGTTCCTTTTGAGTTTGAAAAGCTCAGAATAAAACATAAATACGTGGTCAAAGTTACTAAGCCCATATTCAAACATTTTTAGATTAAGTCATTCTTACCCATCTTGGTTACTTTAAATTTTTCATTATGTGTGTTAAGTACATTTTATTAATGTTGTGATGCCATCAACTGTAGGGCATATCAGTATTTTATGTACCCTTAAGAAAGAAAAAATACTGCCAAGTAAACGATATGATGTGCCATTGGTTATAAACTGAATCCCAATCTCAGAGATGTAAAAATGTGCATCTTAGAATTGATAAAATACTGTATAACCTAGACTAGAAAGAGAAGCCATGGTGATTATATAAACACCTGACCTGTAGTTCCAAAAATAAGAGGACAGTGTTTGCAGCACTGCTGCTTACGGCAGTTTAGCGGCAGAGCATTTGGGGTCTGGAGCAATGCAGTCACACACAGCTCGTACTGCAATGTCGGCCATTGCCACAAGGTGTCGCTATGAGAAGCACTTCCCGTGTGCCCTTTCCCAAAGCCAACCCTCCCCGTGTGGGGAAAAGTGATTAAAGAGAAATTCGTAAGAAAATAGAAGAAGTGAAATACTTTCAGGTACAAAGATCTGAACCTCGTGGTTTTAATTTGAATCTTCGGGTGAGATCATTTTTAACCTGAGCTCTCCAACTCAGCAAACAATGGAAATTTGCCTGTTTACATCTTGGATTGTGTTGTTTTCCATGATTTATGGAAAGTAGTATTTCAATGAAAGATGTAGAAATATGAAACAAATTTGCTGTGATATTTATAACACATTATTAACTCTGGGGATAAGAATAGAAAATGGCAAAAAGTGCTTTTTTTAAATCAATGTATTTTGATGAGGAAGAAGAGAGCATATCAAAATGCTGACGTTAACTCCACCTCAAGTCCAAAAACAAATGCACAGAGAGACAAGCAAGAGGAAGAGAACCAATTACTGACTTCTTTTTCCTTTTTTACCTCATTCCTATGTATTCATTCTCATGCATTCATTTATTCATTCATTCAGCAAATATATTGAGTGCACATTGCACGCCAGGCCCCATTCTAGGCTCTGAGCCTGCAGCAGTTAACAGTTGGGGAAGTCTCCTCTGATGACGTTGGTGTGACGTTGTCACATCAAAGCAGAGAACTGAGTGAAGTTTGGATGTAAACTAGGACAGTATCTAGAGGAAGCGTATTCTAAGCGGAAGACCTGGAAAGCACAAAAGTCTTAAGGCAGAAATGTGCCTATGAGTTTCAGGATGGTCTTGCTCAGGGAGCAAGAGGGAGAGTCAGGAGAGGACATCAGAGAAATAGCAGGGCCGGCCCTTCCCCAGCATAGCCCCCTCCCCATACCTCATGACTGTTCCAGAAGTTCTGTTCTCGTAGCTTTTCTCTGGCAGATATTCACGAGAGAGAGCGGCTCAACTTCCCTTTAAGCCTAATTCCGTAGGGGCAGTGTATCACAGCGGTTAAGCACACGGGCTCTGACACCAAGCTCAGGGAGCAAGCTCGGGTTGGAATCCTAAAATGCCACTTTCTAGTTGTACAGGCTGTCTGTACCTTTCATGCAGTGGGGATAATAGATGTTGAGAGGACTGGATGAGTTAAAGCATGTGAAGTGCTTAGAATAGAGTGAGGCATAAGGCAAGTGCTCAATAAATGTTACGTTAATGCTGTTTCCTCTGATCAAACAGACCCTTTTTCTTGCCCTAGTACTACAAACGCTAAAGAAAACTAGCCTTCTCCCTGACTTCCTTGCATATGCCTTGTTGTTGTTTTTTAAGATTCTCCCTTGTGATGTTACTATCGTGCATTTCACTTCACTATAAAATTCCAGGTAAATGAGAGGCCTTATAATAAGATCTCTGGTGCTATTCTTAGGAGACGCAGCAGAGTCATCTAGCAGATGCACAGTTTAGTCCATTCTCTTCCCTGGCTGCTGTTTCCGTCATCAACATGCAAATGATTGCCTCATGACAGTACAAGCCTTTGCCGATTTGCAACATTAGCCACTAGAAGAAGGAAGAAGATAGTAGAAAATGCAGATTGGAGTAAACCAGTAAGGGTCCCGGACAGAGTACTTCTGTGTAGTAATGGAGGACTTCAAAGCAGATTTCCAGCGTGGATAGGTCTCACTTTGAATCAAATATTTGTTTCTGGAAAGTGGCACATAGATTGAACTATAGTCAATTGAATCCTATTTGCCCTTAAATTTACATTAAAATTTCATAGATAATACATTTCATTTTAATTTGACCACATTCCCATCAAGTTTGCTTTAAAAAGAGTTAAACCTGGGCGAAATCGTGGATAAGTTTGTTTTGGAGGCTCTCACTTCTCCTGTATGGACCCTGTCTCTCTTTTCCTAGTTTCTTTGTTATTTTCTTATTATTTCAAAACAGCTAATAATAGGATAATCTCAGAAAAGCAATCTGACAAATTGGTTCTAAATAAGGTGTTGATGATTTAATTATTTAGTCCTCCTGAAAAATACCTGCATTTTAAAAGTAGACTGTTAAAGAGAACAAAGATTAATCCAGATGAATGAATCTCTAAAGATGAAATTTAAGGCAGGGGGACCTTCTTGGTAACCCTGTAGATAATGTTGTACACGTGACGTTGGCTTTGTTGCCTGCCTTCTTTTAGGAAGTCTGTGTGATTTTCATTTGGGGGAGACTCATTACCCTGGATGGACCTGTCCCTTTTGTTCCAAGTCCCAAATGCTGTTGCATAGCAACCACCACCCTCGCGGCTTTCCATTGAAACTTACTCCTTGTGAATATTCTTCTGACCTCTGGCTTTCCAAAATGTCAACTTCTCATCGATGGTGCAGTGACGTGTCAGCTGATTAGGACACAGCTAAACGGTGGCTTCCAGTGTTCTAGTAAACACATTATTAATAACTGGAGAGACAAATTCCCATCTACCCTCCCACCCCCTCTCTGTTGTGTCAGTAATCTTTATGGTAGAAATTTTAAGTCAGGATGAAGAAAAGTCAGAGGATGTGTTTAAGGGAGTTGCATCTTACAGCACCCCTTAAATCACAAGAATAGGGCTGACCTCCACCTACCCCCCACACACATACAGTGTCTCTGTCAAGTAGTCATCAGCAAATCAACACTAGGATGAAATAGGAAGTGCCTACTTTAAAGAACTCTGCAGCAAATACTTTTATAATAAGAAGAATTAACCTCTAACTCAGATGTTCTGCATAGTCAAGTTTTGTGCATTTCATCTTCCTAAAGCAAAGATATCCATATATTAAAGATACCCAAATTTTTAAAGATACCCAAATAATGAAATAGCTGTATGTTGGCAAATAGATATCCTTATCAAAATGCTTGTTAAGAGTCTGGGTGTATTGTCTTCTGAGATAGTTTACAGGGTGCATTTGATTTCAGTTGTGAAGTTGATTCTATTTTCCCTGTTACAGAGTATACGCACGGCCTCCCTTCCTGGTACTGACTGTCATGAATGCAGTTTGTATTCTTCTGCAAAAGAAACCTAACTGGGCTACAGCAAAGTTACTTCTTTCAGAAACCGGTTTCCTAAAAAAATTGATTAACCTTGATAAGGACAGCATACCTGAGAAGGTAAAACGTTGATCCCTCATTAATGGATAATTGCTGCATTCTGTATTTATAATCTATAGAAGTCAAGGAGAAGTATTAAAATTGCAATTCTCTATTAGAATTGGAAGACAATGGTGAAAGGTAAAACATCATAGAGCAAGCTGCATATCCAAACATAGTAGGTTTCCTGAAAGTGTCAAGGAAAAGCAACATATCACTGAAATCAGAAAATGTCATGTCTCAGAATCTTTTTAAATAATGAGAATAGAGAAGTGGTCACTCATGGGAGAAAGTCTTTCTGGATGGATTATATTATACTATGAAAGTGCGATGAGTGGATAGAGGTGTCTGAATTTTTTTTTATTGAGAAATAATTGACATACAACATTATATTAATTTTAGGTGTACAACATAATGATTCTATATTGGTATATATTGGGAAATGATCACCACAATAAGTCTAGTTAACATGTACTCCACACATGGTTACCAATTTTTTTCTTGTGATGGCAACTTTTAAGATCTACTCTCTTAACTTTCAAATATAAAATACATGTATTATTAACTACAGTCACCGTGCTGTACATTACATCCTCCTGACTTATTTATTTTATAGCTGGAATTTTGTACCTTTTGACCACTATATATAGGCGGTGGGTGAAATGGGTGAAGGTGGTCTTTTGGTGTCCATATATTATATATATATATATTGAGGAGGATGAAATATACATATATAGAGAGAGAATGTAATATAAAATATATATACCACGTTTTCTTTATCCATTCATCCATCAGTGGACACCTAGGTTGCTTCCACGTCTTGGCTATTGTACATAATGCTGCAATGAACAGGGGGTGTGTATATCTTTTTGAGTTAGTGTTTTTGTTTCCTTCAGATAAATACCCTGCTGTGGAATTGCTGGATCATATGTTAGTTCTATTTTTAATTTTTTGAGGAACCTACGTGCTATTTTCCATAGTGTCTGCACCAATTTACATTCCCACCAACAGTGCACGAGGATTCCCTTTTCTCCACGTCCTCGCCAACACTTGTTATTTCTTATCTTTCTGATAATAGCCATTCTAACAGGTGTGAGGTGATATCTCATTGTGGTTTTAATTTGTATTTTCCTGATGATTGTGATGTTGAGCACTTTTTCATGTACCTGCAGCCGTCTGTGTGTCGTCTTTGGAAAAATGTCTATTCATATCCTCTGCCCATTTTTTAATAGGATTGTTTGCTTTTTGCTATTAAGTTGAATGAGTGCTTTATATATTTTGTGTATTAACCCCTTATCACATACATGGCTTGCAAATATTTTCTCCCATTTCATAGGTTCCCTTTTCATTTTGTTGACAGTTTCCTTTGCTGTGCAGAAACTTTTTAGTGTGATTGTAGTCACATTTATTTTTGCCTTTGTTGCCTTTGCGTTCGGTGTCAAATCCAAAATCATCACCAAGATCGACATCAAGGAGCTACTGCATGTTTTCTTCTAGGAGTTTTATGGTTTCAGGTCTTACGTTCAAGTCTTTAATCCATTTTGAGTTAATTTGTGTTTGGTGTAAGATAGTAATCCAGTTTCATTCTTTTGTATTTGGCTGTCCAGTTTTCCCAACATCATTTATTGAAGAGAACATCCTTCCCCATTGTGTATTTTTGGCTATTTTTTCATAGATTAATTGACCATATATGTATGGGTTCATTTCTGGGCTCTCTGTTCTATTCCATTGATCTGTGTATCTGTTTTTATGCCAATACCATACTGTTTTGATTAGTATAGCTTTGTAATATAGGTTAAAATCAGGAAACATGATGCCTCCAGCTTTGTTCTTCTTTCTCAAGATTGCTTTGGCTATTTGGGGGTCTTTTGTGATTCCATACAAATTTTAGAGTTGTTAGTTCTATTTCTGTAAAAATGCCGTTGGGATTTTGATAGAGATTACAGTGAATGTGTATATTGCTTTTGGTAATATAAACATTTTAGTAATATTAATTCTTCCAATCTATAAGCACAAAATATCTTTCCACTTATTGTGTCCTCTTCAATTTCTTTCTTCAACGTCTTATAGTTTTCGGTGTACAGGTCTTTCACTTCCTTTGTTAAATTTATTCCTAGGTACTTTATTCTTTTTGATGCAATGTAAATGGGATTGTTTTCTTAATTTCTCTTTCTAATAGTTTGATTTTGGTGTATAGAAATGCAGTTGAATTTTTTTCTGGTGAGGAAGATTAGCCCTGAGCTAACATCTGTTGCCAATCCTCCTCTTTTTGCTGAGGAAGATTGGCCCTGGGCTAACATCTGTGCCCATCTTCCTCTACTTTATATGTGGGATGCCTGCCACAGCATGGCTTGATAAGTGGTGCACTGGGATCCGAACCTGCAAACCCTGGGCCGCCGAAGCAGAGCACACGAACTTAACCACTATGCCACCAGGCCAGCCCCTACAATTGATTTTTATATATTTATTTTGTATCCTGCAACTGTAATAAATTCATTTATTAGTTCTAACAGGTTTTCTGTGGAGTCTTTAGGGTATTCTACGTATAATATCATATCATCTGCAAATAGTGACAGTTTTACTTCTTCCTTCCCAATTTGGATGCCTTTTATTTCTTTTTCTTGCTTAATTGCTCTGGCTAGGACCTCCAATACTATGCTGAATAAAAGTGATGAGAGTGGGCATCCTTGTCTTGTTCCTGATCTTAGAGGAAAAGCTTTCAGCTTCTCACCATTGAGTATGATGTTAGCTGTGGACTTGTCATATATGGCCTTTATTATGTTGAGGTATATTACCTCTATACCCAGTTTGTTGAGAATTTTTATCATAAATGGGTGTTGAATTTTGTCAGATGCTTCTTCTGCATCTATTGAGATGATCATATGATTTTTATTTTTCATTTTGTTAATGTGGTGTATCACATTGATTAATTTGTGGATGTTAAATCATCCTTGCATCCCTGAAATAAATCCCACTTGATTCTAGCGTATGATCCTTTTTAATGTATTGTTAAATTCAGTTTGCTGGTGTTTTGTGGAGGATTTTTGCATCTATATTCATCGGGGACATTTGCCTGTAATTTTGTCTTCTTGCAGTGTCTTTGTCTTGTTTTGGTATCAGGGTAGTGCTGGCCTCATAAAATGAGTTTGGAAGTGTTTTTTCTTCTATTTTTTGGAAGTGTTCTTCTTCTTCTATTCTTCTATAATTTTGAAAAATTAAAAGAGTTTAGGAAGAATTGGCCTTAATTCTTCTTTATACATTTGGTAGAATCCACAAGTGAAGCCTGGACTTTTGTTTGTTGGGAAGGTTTTGATTATTGATAATGCCCTTAGTAGTAACCAGTCTGTTTAGATTTTCTTCTTATTCATGATTCAGTCTTAGTAGGTTGTATGTCTCTAGGAATTTTTCCGTTTCTTTTAGGTTGTCCAATTTGTTGATGTTTAATTTTTCATAATAGTCTCTTATGATCCTTTGTATTCCTGTGGTATCAGTTGTAACGTCTCCTTTTTTGTTTCTGATTTTATATATTTGAGTCCTCTCTCTTTTTTCCTTGGTGAGTCTAGCTACAGGTTTTTCAATTTTGTTTATCTTTTCAAAAATCCAGCTCCAGGTTTCATTGATCTTTTCTATTGTCTTTTCAGTCTCTATTTCATTTATTTCTGCTCTGATCTTTGTTATCTCCTTCCTTCTACTAACTTTAGGCTTCACTTGTTCTTCTTTTTCTAGTTCCTTGAGGTATGTTACATTAGAAGCCTGACCTCAGGCTGAAGCTTTGAGATAAGCAAGTAGGCCTCTTTCACTGAAAGGCTGGGTGCTTTTCAGTTGGCTCCTCTGTACTGAGCCCTGGGGTGGGTGTCTGCATGAGCACTTTAAGAAATGTTTCTCAGATTCTTATAACCTTGTGGGTCTTGTGGATGCAAGCCCTGTTGGCTTTCAAAGCTAGATGTTTTGGGGGCTCTTTTCTTAGGTGCAGGTCTTAAAAGTTGGAGTGCCAGATGTGGGGTTCAAACCCTTTGCTCCTCAGGGAGAAGCTCTGGCTGTGAGTTCCTTCCTAATTGTGGGTTACCACACCAAGAGTGGGGTTTGTGGTGAGACTGTATCTCAGCCTCTCTACCAATTTCTATGTGGGTTTTTTCTTGTTTGCCCAATGTGTAGCGGTCACTCAGGTAGTTTTGGGGTTTCTTTCAGAGATAATTGTTCTAAATGTAGCTGTAGATTCAGTGTGTCCATGAGAGGAGGTGAGTTCAGGATCTTCATATGTCACCATCTTGAACCAGATCTTTGAGATGATTTTTATTTGTGTAACAAATATTCGTATAACAACGTGTGCCAGACACTGTTCTGAGCACTTTACAAATATTAATTTATGTGGGAGGAAACGGGGGACACATGGGGAGCACAGAAAAATTAAAATAAGGTAGCCTGGCTACCTAGTGAAGGGTTTTGCTGAAGCAGATTTAATTCAGAAGAATGTACATTTACTGTAGGACTTCAAGGAGGATGAGGGCACAGCCAATGTCCTGAGCAAGCATCGGAGTTCAGGGCACCAGTAGAGTGGGGTAGGCCATGCTGGACAGATGAGTCTTGTAGGAAGAGGAAAGGGGTATAGCAGGGTAGGCAAGAGGTTACAAGGGCCTCGACCAAGATGGTGTAGACAGAAGCAGAAAGGCCAAATGCCACTGATGTGGCCACAAGCCAAGTAATGCCTGCAGCCACCAGAAGCTGGAAGAGACGACGAACAGGTTCTCTCCTAGAGCCCGCAGAGGGAGTACTGCCCTTCCTACACTTTGATTTCAGATTTCTGGTCTCCAGAACTGTGGAAGAATAAATTGCTGTTGTTTTAAGTCACCCATTTTGTGGAAATTTGTTACAGTGGGCACAGGAAACTAATACAGATTTTGGTACCAGGAAGTGGTTGCTGCCATAACAAACACCTAAAAATGTAGAAGTGGCTTTGGACCTGGATAATGCGTACAGGCTGGAAGAATATCCAAACAGGGATACTACATGGTTGCTGAACTGAGAGCTAAGTTCAGGGACAGACAGACAGATCTGTAGACGTATAAATGGCACTGTCCTAGGCTGAAGGGGTGAATACTCATTAATTCATTCAATAAATATTTGTGGAGTATCTTCCTTGTAAGAGATATTATGATAGTTTACAAGACCAACTCATTCCTTTATGTTATGAAGCTTACATTGCAACAGGAAAGACAGACATTAAATAGCTAATGACACAATTAATTAATTACTTACGATGATGATCTATGCTATTAGGAAGTATAGGGTAGTATATGAACAAGGTGAATTTTTTTAGCAGAATTTTAGTTTTGATATTTGTATTGTTCATGAATTAATGCAACAACTACTCACTTGCTGAAGCATTCTTAGCAAAAATGATTCCCTGTGATTTTGTTTAAATATCTTTCAAACTAAAACTAATAGCTCATCTAAAGAAATTATTAAAAGCCTAACAGTATTTTAAATGATAATGAGAACACCCATAATCAATTGAGAATGGACCACCTGCCATCTAAGTTATTCAGCAAAATGATTCTCTCCTTCCAGGCAAGAGAGGAAACGCCTGGTTGGAAAGGACGGGAAAAGGAATCTCAGTCTGAGAAAGATGTCATTCTGTTTATGACTTGCGAAAGTAGATGAGAAATACTATATACCTAACCCTAAATTGAGTTGTACCATTTAGATGAGGCAGATCTATGGGCATGAGACACAACTAAGCTAGAGAATGTCCTCAGTGAGCCCCAGTGTGCCCCTGGCTGTACCACCATCACTGACTAGACAGACCTCGAAATAGGGACTGTGCTCTGCCAATATGCCTCTTGGGGGGAGTAGGTGGAAGATGGTATTCCTAGTCACCTCACACCTAAGATGCACAAGAAGGAGACTTCAGACTTCCTTGCACACCAAATTCCACAAAGCTGCAGAAAGTTAACCTGTTTTATTTTTGTCTTATTTATTTATTTATTTATTTATTTATTTATTTATTTATTTATTTTGGTGAGGAAGATCAGCCCTGAGCTAACATCCATGCCAATCCTCCTCTTTTTGCTGAGGAAGACTGGCCCTGAGCTAACACCCGTGCCCATCTTCCTCCACTTTATGTGCAACACCGCCACAGCAGGGCCTGACAAGCGGTGCATTGGTGCGCACCCAGGATCCAAACTCAGGCCGCCAGCAGCGGAGCACACCCACTTAACCACTACGCCACAGGACCAGCCCCATTATTTTTGTTTTAAAATGGAGTTTTCTTAAAAAAAATTATAACAAAGGTACTAACAACAATAGCAATAACAAAATGTTTATAATAGAGGCTTTTCTCCTCCTCTTAAAAAAATTACTGGTACTAGAGCCATTTTGTACTGAGGTATGTGTCTTTGATTCTACTGTTGAAGAGTAGTTGAGTATTTCTTAGACGAAATAAAATTTCATTCTAATGTAGATTGCAGAAAACTTCAGATCAATATTTCTTTCTCATGTAATACATGAACTGTATTCTCTCTAGGTTTTCATGAAGCTGAAAAAAATTTTAGCCTTACATGATTTCAACCCAAACAAGGTTGCCCTAGTTTCTGTTGCTTGTTGCTCTATGTGCCAGTGGGTTATAGCTTTGAATAACTACCATGAAGTACAGAAGGTATGCTTTTTCCTCCTAAATATCGGTAACAATTTGGAATTGACACATCAGAGTCCCAGAAATAATTTTTATTTAACAATGCTCAAATGAACCTCTGTGGAAAGAATACCCAATGAAAAACACTTTAATCGAATGTATTAAGCTAACTCACACAGATATCAAGTATCAGATTCTTTTATTTATGGCAACTATGCTGTTGTTTTGTTTGTTTTAGTGTGTTTCACCATATTAAGCTACTTTATATCCCTTTTGTACAAGTTTAAGAATTGACACCTATAAATGTCTTTCAAACGTAAGTGGCATTTTTAACAGTGAACTTGACTTTTTTAACACTTAAATGTTGTGACATTCTTTTCAAGGTGGTGGGCCCTAAACAAATCCAAGTAACTGAAGCTCAAAACGTCCTAAAAATTGCACGACAAAGGTTGGCTGAAAAACAAAGAGGTTTACAGCTGGTAAGAAATTTTTTGACCTGTTAAACTCTCGACATGTTAATGAACTAGACAAAAACGTCAGGAAAAAGTCATTATCTCAGTAGAGTTTATCATATTAAGACAAAATGGAGATAACAACAAAGGTAGTTAAAAGATTAATTGTGATTAAGTAAATAATATAGATACTATATGTAAACATCTGAGTGCCTGCCACATAATAAAACACTCAATAATTAATAATGTAAATTATTATATCAGTGATACATTAATTTATCATTTCACCGAAGTTCTCCCAGGAGATCTTTGCTAACTTCAGTCTACCAAAGACTTAGTATTAATCTGTGTTCTTAAAAAACCGTGCTTAACCTGTTTATATCCGTTACTCTGTTGCTTTGTAAAGACATGGTTATTCCTTAAATATCTTGGTTTTAAATTAGAGTATCATTATAGAACTAGAACTAGAATTGAGATCATCAGTCCCTGTCACCTATTTAGCTCACATACCTTTTGAGAGTGGGTGAAATAATATACTTCAGAGATGCAATCTAGCAGGCAGATTCAGCCCATTGACATCTTCTATTTGGCCTATATAGTCTTTCTCCCTACCCCTTACATTTTGAGGTAGTTATCAACATTTTTAAATCTGGAGATTTTATTTAAAATCTGAATTTCTATCTTCTCTTGAAAATTCAGAATATCTGGCAACGCTGGGCTACCATTCTCACTCGGTTATAATAAGCCCACAACTCACTTCAAGCGTTTATGTTACCTGCCTGACCCCGTAGGCATTTCTTACAAACTCAGATATGTAAAAAGCATTGGACATTTTTGAAGGTGATTAACAACAAATTTGAACTGAACTTATTTTATATGTCATTTTATTGCTAATATTTAATGCAGCTTATGATGTATCTATATAGTTGTATTTATACATGTGCAGATAATAGCTAACATTTATTGAGCATGCGCTGTGTTCCAAGTACTGTGCTAATGCTTTATATACATTTTCTCATTTGACCCTCAAATCAACTTTCAGAAGTAGGTGTTTACAAATGAGAAAACTAAATTTGAAAGATTTAATAAATTTGCTCAAGATTTTGAGCCTCTAAGTGGTGGTGCCCACATTCTAACCCAGGTCTGTCTAACTCTAAAGCCCATGTACTTAACTACTACCCTATAAAATATTTCTCTCCAGGAGTGATATCCAAAATATCTAGCAACCAGTGTGGCACAGACACCAAACAATCAGAATGGGCACTTGTCACGGAGCAGGAGCAGGGTCCTGGAGGCCACCAGCTGAGATTAAAGAGGGGTCGTAGGGCCAGAGTGGACGGTGTATAGGGGTGGAAGTGCGCTCCAGGGCATGGGGCAGAACCATTTAGCAACCACTGCAGAAATATTTCAATCTAAACAAGCCAAAACTCATGGGTTTAAGAAGATATCACAGATAGGACAACCAGACAGAAGACAGGGAGATAGAGGCCTGAACAACACAATAAACCAGCTAGACCTTACAGACATGTACAGACTACCCCACCCGCAGCAGAATACACATTCTTCTCAAGTGCACGTGGGGCATTCTCCAGGATAGCCCATATGTTAAGCCAAAAAATAAGTCTCAATAGATTTTAAAAGATAAATATCATATAAAGCATCATCTCTCACCACATGGAATGAAGTCTGAAATCAGTAACACAGGGAAAATGGAAAATTCACAAAAAATGTGGAAATTAAACAATAAACTCTTAAACATTCAATAGGCCAAAGGAAAAAGTCACAAGGTAAGGTAGAAAATATTTAGAGACAAATAAAAACACACCAAAAAACACCACACCACACAACACAACACACCAAAAGTTATGGAATGCAGCAAAAGCAGTGCTCAGAGGGAAATTTACAGGTAAATGCCTACATTTAAAAAGAAGATCTCAAATCAGTAACCTAACTTTACACTTTAAGGAGCTAGAAAAAGAAGAGCAAACTAAACCCAAAACTAGCAGAAGGAAAGAAATAATAAAGATTAGAGTGGAGATAAAGAAAACCAAAAAGCAATAGAGGGGGCCAGCCCGGTGGCATAGTGGTTAAGTTCACGCACTCCGCTTCAGCGGCCTAGGATTCGCAGGTTCGGATCCCAGACGTGGACTGAGGCACTGCTTGTCAAGCCATGCTGTGGCAGTGTCCCACATAAAGTAGAGGGAGATGGGCATAGATGTCAGCCCAGGGCCAGTCTTCCTCAGCAAAAAGAGGAGGATTGACATCAGATGTTAGCTCAGGGCTAATCTTCCTCACAAAAGAAAAAATAGAAAAAATCAATGAAACCAAAAGTTGATTCTTTAAAAAGATCCTCAAATTTAATAAACCTTTAGCTTAGATTCCTAAAGACTCCACCAAAAAACTGTTAGAACTAATAAACGAATCTAGTAAAGTAATACCTAGGAATAAATTTAACCAAGAAGGTGAAAGATCTGTAAGCTGAAAACTATAAGACAATGATTAAAGAAATGGAAGAAGACACGAATAAATGGAAAGATATTTCATGCTCACGAGTTGGAAGAATTAATATCGTTAAAATGTCCATACTACACAAAGCAATCTACAGATTGAATGCAATCCCTGTCAAAATTCCAATGACATTTTCACAGAAGTAGAACAATCCTAAAATTTGTGTGGAACCACAAAATTTTTCTGTTGTCTTCTTGATGATAGCCATTCTAACAGGTGTGAGGTGATATCTCATTGTGGTTTTGTTTGATTTGCATTTCGCTGATGATTAATTGATGTTGAGCATCTTTTCATATACCTGTTGGTCCTTTGTATGTCTGATTTGGAAAAATATCTATTTAGTTCCTCTGTCCATTTTTTAATTGGATAGTTTTTTTTTTGTTATTGAGTTGTATGAGTTCTTTATATATTTTGGATATTAACCCCTTATCCGATATATGGTTTGCAAAAATTTTCTCCCATTCTATAGGTTGCCCTTTCATCTTGTTAATTGTTTCTTTTGCTGTGCAGAAGCTTTTAAGCTCAATGTAGTCCCATTTGTTGATTTTTGTTTTTGTTGTTTGTGCTTTTCGTGTTGTATCCAAAAAAATCATTGCTAAGACCCATGTCAAGGAGCTTCTTCCCTTCTTCCTTCCATCCATTTCGAGTTAATTTTTGTGAGTGGTGTAAGATAACAGTCCAATTTCATGGTTCTGCATGTGTTTATCCAGTTTTCCCAGGATCATTTGTTGAAGAGACTGTCCCTTCCCTATTGGGTGCTCTTGACTCCCTTGTGGAATATTAGTTGACCAGATACAAGGGGGTTTAATTCTGGATTCTCCATTCTGTTCCGTTGGTCTATGTATCTATTTTATGCCAGTACCATACTGTTTTTATTAGCGTATAGAAATGCAACTGATTTCTACGTATCGATTTTAGATCCCACAACTTTACTGAAATTGCTGATTAGTTCCAACAGTTTCTAGGTTGAGTGTTTGGGATTTTCTATATGCAAAATCACATGATATGCAAATAGCAACAGTTTTATTTGTTCCTTTCTGATTAGGATGCTTTTGATTTCTTTGTCTTGCCTAAGTGCTTTGGCTAGGACTTGCAGTACTATATTGAAGAGAGTAGTGAGGGTGGGTGTCAGAGGAAAAACCCTCAATTGTTCAATGTTCAGTATAATGTTAGCTGTGGGGTTTGTAGTGTATGGCCTTTATTATGTTGAAGTATGTCCCTTGTATCCCCAATATGTTAAGGGGTTTTATCATGAAAGATGTTTTTTGTCAAATGCTTTTTCTGCATCTATTGTGATGATCATGTGATTTTTATCATTCCTTCTATTAATGTGATGTAATACATTAATTGATTTGCGTATGTTGAATCATCCTTGCATCCCAGGGATAAACGCCACTTGGTCATGGTATATAATCCTTTTAATGTGTTCTTGAATTCTTAAAATTTGCTAATATTTTGTTGAGAATTTTTGCATCTGTATCCATCAGTGATTTTAGTCTACAGTTTTATTTTTCAGGTAAGTTATTTTATTATTTCATTGTTTGAAACATAATCCTCTATTTCTTCACTTTCCTTGACTCTCTCTGTTGGTGTCTACACATTTGGTAAAACAGCCACCTCTCCTTGTCTTGACAAAGTGGTTTTGTGTAGGAGATGACCCTTGTCTTTCAGCCTGGCCTGAGCTCCTGGTTGTCTCTCACACTGTTGTGATTGTCAAAGCAGCCTTCTTTGTTCTTAGTGGCTCCCAGTATTCCAAGTGTGCCAAGACCTGTCAGTGTCCCAAAGGAGAGCATCTCAGTCAGCACCTAGACGCAGGGGGATTGGAAGCTGGACCCTCAGGCAACAACATCTGAAGTGTGCAAAAAGACCTCTTCAGTGAACAACTGGGAGATGTCTGTTCCCTCTGCATGAGCCCTGGGAGTACAGCCCATTAAGAACTATTTCTTGGGGCCAGCCCAGTGGTGTAGTGGTTAAGTTTGCATGCGCTGCGTCAGCGGCCGGGGTTCGCGGGTTCAGATCCCAGGTGTGGACTTACACACCGCTCATCAAGCCATGCTGTGGCAGCATCCCACATGCAAAATAGAGGAATATTGGCACAGGTGTTAGCTCAGGACCAATCTTCCTCACCAAAAAAAAAAGAGAGAACTATTTCTTTGTTTGCTACATTCCTGCGGAACTGATGAACACAAGCCTGGCTGGCCACCAGAGCCAGGTGGTCAAGGGGTGCTTCCCCTGGGTAGCAGCCACAAAAGCCAGAGTACCGGATGTGTACAAGCTCCTTCCATGGGGAAATGGATGATTTGGAGTGGGCTAGAGGGAGAATGCCAAGATGATGTCTGCAGGCCTCCCCATTCTCCCAGGAGGGTCCCAGTCAGCCCCTGAGTGTGTGCTAAACTAGAAGCCTGACCTCAGGCAACAGCTTTTAAAGTATGCAGATAGGCCTCTTTCAGGGAAAGATTGGGAGATGAGTGTTTCTGCCTGACCCCTCAGCACTGAGCTGTAGCTGCAAAGGCCAGGGCACCAGACGTACACAAGCTCCTTCCAGGGAGACACCAGGACCTGGAGTGGGCCAGAGGGACAATGTGGAGACAGCACCCACCGTCCACCCCACTCTCTGGGGAGGATCACAGTTAGCCCCTAAATGTGCGCTAAATTAGAAGCCTGACCCTCAGGCAGCAGCCTCTTTCAAATATGCCTCTTTCAGGGAAGGGGGGGGACATGGGCATTTCTATCTTCTCTCTCTGCAGTGAGCCCTGGGGGATAGCCAGTTAAAAACTGTCTCTTTGTTTGCTGTCGTCTAGTGGGTCTCTGTTGGCTTTCAGAGCTAGGTGTGTTACCAAACCAAAGTGGGTTCACTTCTTGGTGAGTCGTAATCAAAGCCTTCACCAGAAGTAGTTGTCACACAAAGTAAGATTTATTTGCAGCAAATAAGGAGCCCATGGGGAATTATGTGCAATGCCATGGCTCTCCAAGCAAGGGAAAGCAGAGGCCTTTTATTTTGGGTGGGGAATGAATATTCAAAAGGGAAGTTTCATCATCACATGTAGAGGTGGGTATTCGCTGGCACAGGCGCAGTTTGAAAGCATGCTTCCACATATATCACATGCTATGGTAATAAGGCCTAAGCTTCTCCTGGGGTAGAGATCTTAGCATAAAAAGGAAGCAAGGGTAATCTCTTGGGTACTTCTCGGCCCATCTGCACAAGCATCACTCTTGTGGTGGGGTTTGGACCGGTTCAGGGCGGTTGGTGATTGCATCTCTTAACATAACTAAAAATCAATTTTGAGAAACAGTTAAGTGCTTCCTCCTTAGAGTTACTCAAGGCAGTTAGTCAGTGACAGGTGTTTTGGGGGCCCATCCCTCAGGTGGAAGTCTTAAAAGTCGGGACTCTAGATGTTGGGTCCAAACCCTGTGCTCCTCAGGGGGATGCTGGGAGTTATGAGTTCCCTCCTGACTGTATGGCACTGTGCTGGGGGTGAAGTTTATGGCGAGAGTGTGTATCAGCCTTTCCTATCCGTTTCGAGGTGGGTGTTTTCTCATTCACCCAATGTGTAGGACCTGCTCAGCTGGGTTCTGAATTTCTTCAGAGGCGATTGCTCCATGCCTGGCTATAGATTTGTCCACAGGTGGGGGTGAGTTCAAGAGCCTCCTGTATAGACATCTTGGACTGGAACTGTCTTTGTACTTATATTTGATCCTTAGTATTTTTTATTTGGGTATTTACTCAATTCTCCTGCTGTCCATGATCTTTTGTTTTGTTTTAGTATTTTCATTCATTTTTCCAACAAATATTTGTTTATAATATTATTCATTGGTTTTTATTGTTATTCAATGGTAGAGAAGAAAAAGATAAACTGTAAATTCCAGTCAGAACCTTACTCCACTAGTATTCCGCATTCTCTTCCAGCCCTCAACCACAGGCTTCTTGAGAAGTTTCTAATATTTTAACACATTGAACTCCAACAAGTATACTTAAAATGTATATTTTTACACTTAATATTTTAAAATTGAATGTAAGTAGTTAACTCCATTGGTTTTAAGCCTTCGTTGAGGTTTTCCTCCTCACTCAGCTATGTCCTGTCTCCTGTTTTAAAAATAGGTCTTTTGTTCACCTGGATTTTAATATAAAAAATATTTCTGAAAAATCTAGGGAAATTTAGGGGGAAGAAATCATGCCAGAACTTATTATATTACATGAACATTCATTAAAAATGTTATTTTGGGGTAACAGAGTGCCTGTCGTATACAGATCTTCCTCGACTTCCAGTGGGGTTACATCCCAATAAACCCATCGTAAGTTGAAATATCATAAGTCAAAAATGTTGAATACGCCTAACCTCCCGAATGTCATAGCTGAGCCTAGCCTACCTTAAACGTGCTCAGAACACTTACATTAGCCTACAATTGGGCAAAATCATCTAACACAAAACCTATTTTATAATAAAGTGTTGACTATCTCATGTAATTTATTGAATCCTGTACTGAAAGTGAAAAACAGAATGGTTGGATGGGTACAGAATGGTTGTAAGTGTATCGGTTGTTTACTCTCATGATCCCATGGCTGTTGGGGAGCTGTGCTCGCTGCCACTGCCCAGCATCACAAGAGAGGATCATACCCCATATCGCTAGCCCAGGAAAAGATCAAAATTCAAAGTAGGATTTCTACTGAATGCATACTGCTTTCCCACCATCATAAAGTCGAAAAATCGTAAGTCAAACCATCTGTAATAGAAATGTCAGGTGTTTAACCGAATCAGTAAGCCCTATGCTTTAATATTTAAATAACTCACTAGGTCTTGAGTAGCAAGGGAGGCGTTTTCTCAGAGAAATCAAAACGGGGGAATGAGCAAGCAAACAAAACCAACATAATACACAAAAGAGTAAACAACTAAATAATTATTATGGGTGAACCAGAAATAAATAATAAATCATTAGAGTAGGCACACCAAAAGTAGCCAATGTGTATATGTTTTGTAAAAATTAGGTATTTTCACTAGGATAACACCTTAAAAATAGGAGGAGAAATTACAAATCACAGACTGCATTCAATAAGCACAATTTTATATATACAATTACATGTACATAACATATTCAAGTCTTCATGCTAAATCCTGTCTTCAAAGATTTTGAGAAGACATGAAAATCTTTCAAAAATATAAATAACAACATAAGGATAATAAGACTATAAGACCACAATACAAGAGATAATATCAGGCAATTTATAATTACTTCTCAAATGACTGTCACAAACAGTACATCAGGGTGGATTTGACAAGACTGACACATCATAACAGCTGGAAGTTGATAAAGATTTTAAAGAATGCCAAGGATCTACATCCCTTTAAAGGGAGGAGTCCAGGCGTAAGGGAAAGATGTGAGCCAAATTGCAGAGGCAAGAACGCTTAAGGAATATTTAGGAGATATAGAATAAACCAATTTGGCTAAAGTGTAATATTATTGCAAAGGAGATGAAATTGGGAAGGAATGTTGGGGTCAGATTGTAGAGGCTTTAATTGAAAGGGCCAAAACTTTGGACTATATCCTTAGGCAATCATTTCTATAAGAATTCACCAAAGATTTTTGAGCAAGAGTGTTATCAAGTGGTAATTTAAGAAAATTATTTTATTGGCTATTTGTGAAAATATATTTTCTACTGACAGCCTAGGGATAATAGTCGCTTCATTCTGCCAGCCTAACTTCAAAAACTCATTAGTTCCTCTGGGCTGATCAGTGGATCTGGGATGAAAAAGTTCAATCACTTTCTTAGAGAAAAAACCTGGATACGATACAAAATTTTCTGTGTGAAAAATAAGTCAGAAAATGACGAATCTTCAAATGCTAAGATTGTAAGAAAACCTATTGAGGAAGCTAGCATTTTAAAAAACAAACCTCAATATCTAAGGGATCATTCATTTAATTACTACAATGTACATTTTCATTGGTAATATAATCCATCTCTCCAGAAAGAATTTCCAGGATGTGAAAATGAAATGGTTGCACACTATATTTATATAAATACAGATAAACTCTTGAGGCAAAATGAGAGTACAATTTTGTCTCAATAACAGATTAATTGTCTTTCAGATTGAAGAACATCTGCTGTATTTGCAGGCAGCCTACAAAGATACTGTTGCTGAAAAAGAAATATTAGCAAATCGAAGACAACTGGCCACCAGGCGCTTGCAGTGCGCATCTATCTTACTAACTGCACTGGAAGATGAAAAGGCATGACTTTCTTTGCGTGTATATCTCCTTCATTAATTTCTACTGGGCTTGACAGACCCCAAGATGTTATTTTCAGATACCTCCTGAAACTATCTTACCATCCAGTTTCTGACTGAGATCAGTAGACAGTCCTGTTCACATAAAAATAAGGGAGTCCTGGGCCGGCCCCGTGGCTTAGCGGTTAAGTGCGCGCGCTCCGCTGCTGGCGGCCTGGGTTCGGATCCCGGGCACACACCAGCGCACCGCTTCTCCGGCCATGCTGAGGCCACGTCCCACATACAGCAACTAGAAGGATGTGCAACTATGACATACAGCTATCTACTGTGGCTTTGGGGGTAAAAGGGAGGAGGATTGGCAATAGATGTTAGCTCAGAGCCGGTCTTCCTCAGCAAAAAAAGAGGAGGATTAGCATGGATGTTAGCTCAGGGCTGATCTTCCTCACAAAAATAAAAATAAATAAATAAATAAAGGAGTCCCGGTCAAGTAGTCTTAAAACAGAGATAAGAGACTACAAAGGTCAGAAGTTATTTTCTCTTGATTCTAAGACATCAGCACACTTTTGTGTGAGGAGGACCCAAGTAAACCCATCAGTGAGCGTGTCAGTTTTCTAGCTCATCAGTGAGCTGGAAAAGAAAAAGTTTTCTTTTTCTAGCACAGGAACAATCAAGCTGAATGTATAAAACATGGGTGGAGCTGAAAGGGAGGAGATGTCATTAAGAAGGAAAAAGAAAATTTTATTTTGTTCTGTCAATCTTCTGACCCCTTCTTTCTCATCTTTTTATTTCTCTTCTAATTAATCTGCCTTCTCTATACTTGAATCCATAGAGGGCTGACTAGGATCTTGGTTCTGTCATACCTCAGCTATCTCAAAGGATGTTACAAAAATTCTCAAGATAATTTTAATTTAGTTTAATTGTCTAAATAAATACATATCACGAAGACTCCTACAGTGCAAGGAGAAGGAGTTTATGAAATCAGACCAATTAGAGAGAGATCACAGCCCTCAAAAGATGACTGATGTCCTTGAGAGCCAAGTATATGTTGAGAGGCAGTAGAACATCAGCTTTATCCCTGATTTTAAGCTTCCAGAAGAGAGGGTTTATGTTCAACATGCTTTCTTTATTGACCAATCAAGAACATACATGGTTGTAGAAGGAGGCCATACAGCCAAAGAATATGGGTTCAGATCCCAGCTACACCCTTCGAAAGCTTTGTGAACTTGAACAAGTTACTTAACTTCTCTAAACTTCAACTTCCTCTTCTGAAAATGAAGTCAATGGCTTTTACTTAACAGGATACTGAAAGCATCAAATGAGATTTTCAAAGTAAAGTGTCTGTTAGATATGTAAGGATTCAATAAATATTGGTCATTATTATTACTGAACACCATTAATAATATATTATAATGAATTGATATTTTAAAAATTCATCCTGCTTTATTACACAAAGGATTTGAAATGGCTATCTATCAATCTTAGCAAATATGACACTATTGACAAATTCAAGAGTAGGACTCATGTTCCCCTCAGAAATCAGTTTGTTTTTTAATATTATCCATTATTTTAATACAACTACAGCATGAGAACCAGTAACAGTAATAGCAATGATAGGTCCAACTTGGAGACCATTAATATCTAAAATGTCTTATAATAGTGTATTTTATATCAAATATAAATAACTCATTTTTATCTTGACATTTAGACTCAATGGCAAGAAACAATCAATCAAATAGACAGCAAGTTGGAAGGAATTTTGGGTGACATACTTATTTCAGCAGCATGCATTGTCTACAGTGGAATGTTAACAGCAGAATTTCGCCAGTTGGTTGTGAATAAATGGGAGAATCTTTGCACTGAAAACAATATTTCTTTGTCTTCTAACTTTTCTTTAATTGAAGTCATGGCACAAAAACATGAGGTAGTAACATATTTCTATTATCCAGTTAAGTGGCTGTTATTGTTGATTTGGATTTTGGATGTGGGTGTAATTTTTTTTGGCTTTGATCTTTGCCCCAAATTATTTTGATAAATGAAAATATTGATGTTTGTTCTGGGCCTTAAAATTTTTTTTAATTATAGTTCTAAGGCCTCAATTAGATACATCTCCTGTTTCTCATCCCCTGGGCAAAAGGCACAAAGTATCCTTTTCCTCATTGTAATTCTACTACTCTGTCCTAACAAATACAGCCAATTTCTGTCCACAAAACCCCTGTCATTAATAAAATTTGTGACTTATTTACTATGCTTAGTATTCTTAGAAACAGCCAAAAATATAGACCTCAAATTTATCAATTTATCAATAAATATTTATTGTTTATCTATGTAAGTTCTATGCTGATGTTGAGAGGTTAAAAAATAAATACACCTTTTTTTTTCATCCCAAGAGAGTAATTTTAGATTAGTTCCCTTGCTGATAATTCAACTTAAACTGACTGTCAAATCTACAAACTCTCTAAAGCAAATACAGACTTCTCATTTTCATAATGCTAATAACCAGTTTAAACCCAAATATTTTGGTAATGACATTGGATGTAAATGGACTAAATGGTCCAGTTAAAATGCTAAGATTGTAAGATTATGTAAAAATTTAAACCAAAGCACAGAACAGAAACCACATGTTATTTAGAAAGCACACATCTAAAACATAAAGAAAGACTGACAGTAAAAATTGGGAGGAAATTTACCATGGATTACCCAAAAAAGGACAAAATAGACTTTAAGGCAAAAAAGAATTACTAGAATTAAATAAGCTTATGTTATAATAAGAATTGCTTTAATTCTCCAAGAATATGTTAACAATTCTCAATTTGTTTGTACCTAATAACTTGACCTCAAATAATATAAAGCAAACATTAAAAGAACTACAGATAAAAAATGGACAAGTCTATAATCATCAGGAAAGATTTTAACATACTTATTTCTGTAACTCATAGTAAAAGAACACAAAAATCAGTAAGAATAGAGAAGATTTGAACAGAAATGATCAACAAATGGATTTAATAGACATATATTAGCCTACATCTGGAGCTTACACAGTCTATGCAAGCACATATAGAACATTGCCAAAATTGGCCATGTAATGGACCACAAATAAAGTTTCAACAAATGTCAAAGGACTTAAATCATACAGAGTATGTTATCTGACCAAAATGCAATTAAGCTAGCAGTCAGTAATTAAAAGTTTTTTTGAAAATCCTCATATTTCTGGAAATTAGGAAATATAGTCCTTAACTAACCACAGGTCAAAGAAGAAATCAGAATTGAAAAAAATGAAGCATTGGTGAAAATTTTTCCTTTGAGGTTGGGAACATGACAAAGGGCTATGCACTATCTTCGCTTGTATTTAACACTGCAGTGGAGATCCTAGACAGCGCAGTAATGCAAGAAAAAGAAATAAAAGATATTAGAATAGGAAAAGAAGAAAGAAACAAAAAATATAAATTTTGCAGGTGATATATTATGTACCTAGAAAATCCAAGAGAATCTATAGATATATCATAAGAATTAATGAAAGTTTAGCAAAGTCTCTGGGATTAAAGTCAATATACAAATACCAATTGCACTTCTCCACACCAGCAACAAACAGGGTGCACTGTGTTTTTAGATACCATTTATCATAGCATCAAAATGAATCTATCAAAAAGTTGTATAAAATTTATAGAAATAAAACTATAAAACATTATTGAGATAAAGTTTAAGAAACCTAAATAAATGAAGAGTTATGCCATGTTCATGAATTAGAAGACTCAATATTCTGAAGTTGCCAGTTCCTTCCACATTGATCTATGGATCCAGTGTAATCCCAATCCGGGTAGGGTGTGTGTATGTGTGTCTCTCGTCTGTCTAACTCGACAAGCTGATTCTAAAAGTTATAAAAAAAAGGTAAAGAGCCAAAATGTCCAAGACATTGTTGATGAAGAACTAGGTGGAATGACTTGCTATATCAAATATCAAGATTTGCTTTAAAGCTACAGTAATTAGGACAATGGTATTGTTTATCCATGTGTGTACCAGTGCAAGGGTAAACAACTACACCAATGCAGCAGAACTGAGAGCCCAGAAACAGACCCACACATACATGGACATTTGATTTATGACAAAGGGGATACTGCAGTACAGTGAGGAATGCATAGTCTTTTCAATAATAGTGCTGGGTAGTTGAATATTCATAAGAAAAAAAAAGAAGGAATTTGACCATTACCTCACACCACACATAAAAATTCAGTTGCAGTTGAATAGTGAACCCAAATGTGAAAGGCAAATTAATAAAACATAATTTATGAGAATGTGTGCATGACCCCAGTTGAGAAAAGATTTCTCAAGCAGAACTAACCATAAAGGAAAAAGTTGATCAATAGAATTACATTAAAATTTAGACCTTCTGTTCCTCAAAAGACACTGTAAAGAGGATATAAAGACAATTCAAAGAATAGGAGAGGATGTTTGTAATACATATATTCAACAAAGGGCCCTATCCACAATATAAAAAGAACTATTACAAATCAATCAATAAATGGGCAAGAGCCTGGAATAGGCAGCTTACAAAAGAGGCTATCCAAATAGCCAATAAACATATGAAAGGTGCTCACCTTCGTTATTCATTAGGGGAATCAAAATTAAATCTAAAATGAGATATCACAACACATCTGCCAACATGACCAAAATTTAAAAGACTGACAGTATCAGGAGTTAGCAAGGGTATAGAGAAACAGAAACTCTCATAAATTGCTGGTGAGAATATAAAATGCTATAATCATTTAGAAAACTGATTTTAGCTACAAGTATTAAAAACACACATACCCTATGACCGAATATTCCACTCCTAGGTTTTTACCCCAAAGAAATGCATACATAAGTTGACCAATAGAATATAAAAGAATATTCATTGTAGCATTATTCATAATAGCCAAAAACTTGAAACAATCCAAGTGCCCTCAACAGTAGAATGGGTAAATAAATCTAGATATATTCATGAAGTGGAATACTCCACAGCAGTGAGAATGAATAAATACAGCTATAAAACGACATGGATGAAGCCGGAAGAAAAGAGGATATACTATAAGATTTCATTTATCTAAAGTCCAAAAATTACCAAAACTAAAGTATAGTATTTAGGAATACATATTTCAGTAAAATGATAAAGATAAGCATGAAAGTCAGGGGAATGATTCATTTTCTCGAATAGAAACTCTGATTCACTATTTGAAGTTTATTTCTCTCACTACTGATGTGCTATTCGAAGTTTATTTCTCTCACCACACCAACCTTTTGCTCTTTTCTTCTTTGCCTGTATTCAAATGCAACCTATACTCCAACCAATGGAAATACTTGTAGTTTCCAAGATTCCTTATCATCTTTCATATTTCTTTTTATGTAGAATTCAAGAGCATGCAGTTCTTCAAAGGCTTAAACAAACTTTTTCTTCCCTTTCAAAACTAAAAAGTATCCTTGGCCTCTCCCGGGGTGGTCCCTGCTGTCTTTCCCTGGAAGGTTCCCTGGTGTCCTGTTCCTTCTCTGACCTCCATGGACCTTCTTGCCTTTTTTCTTCCCACCTGCTGATAGTGGCAGGAAATCAGAGCAACAGGCAAAGAGAGGCCATGTAAGGATGAAAAGTTTGTCAGTCTTGGAGTCAGCTTCTGAGTTAAACCCTGGGTCTCCTATTAGTCTGACAGTGTGACCACAGGCAAATTCCTAACCTCTTTTAACCTCAGTTCCTCCTTCTGAGAAATGAAGGTTGTTACAGTGATTTAAGTAAATAATGCATTATGTGCTTGGCAGGTGGTGGGTGTGCCATAAAGTAGCTATTGTTATATCTGTATAGTTCTGTATTATTGCATGTTTCATATATGCATTAGAGTCTAAGATCCTTAGGAACAGTTACTCTATCTTATGTTCCTTAACTGTCTCCTATAGCATGTTGTTGTGATGGGCATTCATTCTTACTGATGAACAGAAACCTGGAATTTAATGAAAAATTACACACCTTATTCAAAACTTCACATCCCAGTTGTTTAAAATTGTTCATTTCCTTAGTCCTTTTAAAGATTATTTGGTTTTCTAAAGGAAGTGATCCTGCAGGATCCTTTAGTATCCTGTAGGATATTAAAGATGTGAAGGAGTTTATGAAACAGTGAAAGCACCAATGATTTCATTCCAGATCCGCCGATGGCATTATCAGGGGCTACCTCCCGATCAGTATTCTACAGAGAGTGCCATCTTGATCAAGAACAGCCTGCAGTGGCCACTGCTGATTGACCCACACAAGCAAGCACGCCCTTGGATCCGTCAGATGGAAGGATCTAGGCTGCAGGAGCTCTCCATTGAAGACAGCAATTACATCAAAAAAATGGAAAATGCTGTGAAAACAGGGGGGAGTATCCTCTTGCAGGTATTTGGACAAAATGGCCTAATTCCATGCAGCTGACGCATATATTGTATTCACTGAGCATAAAGACTAAGAGCTTTAAATAACAGGTAACTTTGTCAGGGGGAAAAAAATCATAAATAAATAAATGCATAAATAAATACAGTCAGTTTTCAATGTTCAATTCATTTGGATCCATCTTTTACTGGTGTCCAGATATTAACAAGATTTACATTTTTTAAATGCTGTGTCTTTTCAATGGATTTATTTGTTGTAAGATGAGTTTTTTATTAATGTCTGTTGGGTTTTTCAGAATCTCCCCGAAACATTAGCTCCCAGTTTAAAGGCAATTTTGAAGAAGGATATCTATCAGAAAAGAGGACAATATTTCCTAAGGGTTGATGATTCTGAGATCGAATACAATTCCAGATTTAGGTAATGTCTCTCAAAGTTAAATTGAGTCAAATGTTTATGTTTTTTAAGACAAATAATATTTCAGCCCTGTATTTTAGTCCTGATAAGCCTCTCCTGGAGAAAAAAAGTGAGATTGCATTTTGAAAGTTCTTTTTGTTTTTGTATTTCCAGTCGCACTCATCAGCATAGAGAATAGAGAACAGATTTTTGTTTATCAAGTCATTCCAAACCAATCCTTTTCAGGCTGTGCCTGACAAAGCCTGTGGGTTCCAGGAAGAGTCTTCAGAAGCTGTGAGGAAGGGCAACGAGCAGGAAGCCTGGCCCCACTTGATCCAGAGGAGCTCAATTTGACCTGTTTGCCTAACATTTTATTTGAGCAGAAAAAGCTTCTGCTTCTTTAAGAAACAAAATCCATATTTGATATCTAGAGCAAAAAGATAGAGATTTTTCCTAGGCAGAATAAAACATTGTATCCACGTTCCAAGCAGTAATGGGCCCCCAGGAGTCCGATTCCCACCAGCCAACTTCACAGAGCACTATTACGTAGTCAAATTTAATTACCTCAAATATATAATTCCCAAGAGAATAAGATATTTGAGTTGTTAGCCATGTGCATTCTCCCCTTCAATTCACAATCAGAAGATTGCTAAGTGAGCAAGTAATCAGCAAGGGGAATTAGAAGATGATGTTAATGGTCCCTAACCTGGTGCATTTAACTTCTTTACAGGGACAGACTGACTCCTTACCAAGTGGTCCTGACTCACAAATCTGTTGGTCAGTGGGTCCTTTTCCCTGGGCAGGGCTGCCAAATTCTTACTCCTCACCAAATTCTTACTCCTTAGAATCTCTCTTCCAGTCTCCTTTCTTCTGCTAATAAAACATTTTCCAAAGTATATTCCTCCAAACAACATTTCTAGGGATTTAATAGGTGTCAATCAAAAAAGGGATCCTGTAGTTTTTTAAAGCACTGAGTTAAAGAAAGTCAAACAGGATTCTTGCCTACAAGGACTTAAAACCCCTTTATTTAAAGAACCCTCTCCAGAAAATAGCGTTCTACAGAATACACTTTGCAAAACACCCTGTTAACCCATTATTTCTTTCTCACTGAATTAAGCAACAGCTCTAGAAATACAATGAAGTAATATTTTTCTGAATTGACAACCTGGTGCCCGTGTTTGAATTGTGTGTCTGAGGAGGCGGTGGAGGAAACTGTTTTGGATGGCAGACTGGCGACGAAGCCCCAATCTGTCACTTTCCGGCTGTGTGATATAGGCAATTTATTTAACCTCTCTAAGCCTCAATTTCACCCTCTATGAAATGGAATGAGGACTTGTCCCTGCTTTATTGGGTTGCTATGAAGACTAAAGGAGATTCAGAATCTGACCACTCCCACTGGTAACACCCTACTCCAAGCCCCCATCATCTCTCACATGTTAACCAGTCTCCCAGCTTCCTCCTTGCCCAGCTCCTCCCTCTGCAGGCTGTTCTCAAGACAGCAGCTAGAGTGGTCCTGTTCCAAAAAGATCATGGCTCTCCTCCACTCAAATCCCTTCATTGGCGTATTACACAGGGTAAAAACCATAGTCTTTACAGTGATGTGATGACAGGTCAAAACTCTCACTATTTAGCATTTTTCTTTACTCTGACCTTATGCTTAGACCAAATATAGTGTAGACATAATTTGTGGTTGTATTTTTTTTTTTTTTTTTTTTTTAAGATTTTATTTATTTATTTATTTTTCCCCCCAAAGCCCCAGTAGATAGTTGTATGTCATAGTTGCACATCCTTCTAGTTGCTGTATGTGGGACGTGGCCTCAGCATGGCCGGAGAAGCGGTGCGTTGGTGCGCGCCCGGGATCCGAACCCGGGCCGCCAGCAGCGGAGCGCACGCAATTAACCGCTAAGCCACGGGGCCAGCCCGTGGTTGTATTTTTTTAAAGTCGTAAATAGCAAATGTATACACGTAGTGTGAATTGAGAGCCTACTTTGTGTACAAGGCTGAATAATACTAAAAATTAATTTTGTTTACTTTCAGGAGAAATATTTTTTCCATTATTAAGTAAATTAGTTTCTTTTTTTCCCTCTGTACATCCTTTGAATAACTGGTGTCTTTCTCATGTTTTAGGTTATACATATGTACAGAAATAGACAACCCTCCTTTTCCTCCATCAGTTTATAACTTTGTTACTATGATCAACTTCACGGTAACTTTCCAAGGTTTGCAAGATCAACTCTTATCTACTGTATTAACTCACGAAGTTCCTCATTTAGAAAGTCAACGTTTCCACTTATTGGAGAGTATTTCCCTTGATGCTATGACTCTTGAAGAACTGGAGGAAAAAACATTAAGTTTACTGCAGAACGCACAAGGTAAGTTAAGATATTTAGTGATATTAGGAGATCTTTGCATACCTTTGTGAAGGACAGAATAAAAGTTATAAGGACTGTTGACACAAGTAACCAATAATCAATCTATAGACTAAAAATGGGGTGAGAGTTTCTTATATGAGCCAGTCTGAGGACTGTAGCCCGGAAGCACAGTCTCCACCAGGGAAGAAAGAACTCTCGAGAGGTGAGCTGTACAGCATGGTTATGTATTGTTTTGGAACATACATCAAACATGACAGGAATACTTCTTTTTCTTTTTTACTACAGTCACAAGATGTTTGCTGCATACACAGCAGGTCATCCTGATCCTGGTTTCTGGGAAGGAATGTTTATCTTCAAAGAAATGCTGATATGGGTGGGAGGTATTCATCCCTATCTTTAAAGGCAACATTTTTTGCTTTGGGTTACTGTTTAATGTTTAAAGCAGATGTACAATGCATGCTTGACAGGCCGTAAATGAGTCCATTCTGGAAAGACAAGTTCAGGCTGAATCAGTTTTAAACCAAAATGGCTTCCTCATATACCTCAATATATTAACTTTCCTTATTAGTTTCATTACTTTTCACTTATTTCCATCAGGACCATATTCTGACTTGGTATCAAAAATACCAGATCTTCATTTCCACCAGATAACTGATCAACCACCCCATTTCTAAAATTAAAACATTGTGAATTTTGATGTTCCTCAGTTCCTGTCTCTGCTTTAGCTCATTATGTCATAGGACACTTGTCACTTTATAGTCAGTATAAGCTGTGAGAAAAATTTTATAAAGACTGCTTAGTTCCCTCCTTGCTCTATGTCTATATAATTTCTAAACAACTAAATATAAAGCATGGTAAGTTCCTGGGGCACACTGATATATCTGCTCCTGAAAGGGGTTCTTAATACCCAATTTCAACGTGGGAGGAAGGTGTTCCCTCCACACCAACAGTAATGCAACACCAGCTGGGTGTCCTACAGTTGAGCCCATTTCTGACACTATCTACCCAGAGATAACACAGGATTCCACAGGGTAAGATTTCAGTCCTATAAGACTGCCCTCTCTCCCCCACTTCAGATGCCAATCGAAAGCCCAGGTTGTTACTTATGCTTCTGACAGATGGGCTGCAGATTGGAAGTTCCAAGAACCCCCTTCCTTGGGTTCAATTAATTTGCTAGAGTGGCTCTCAGAACTCAGGAAACCCATTTACTCACTAGATTACCAGTTTATTATAAAAGGATATAACTCAGGAACAGCCAGATGGAAGGGATGCATTAGGGCAAGATACAGGGACAGGGCGCGCAGCTTACAAGCTCTCTCCCACCACACCACTCGCCTCAAATCTCCACGCGTTCACAAACCTGGAAGTTCTCTGAACCTTGTACTTTTGGATTTTTATGGAGGCTTCATTACCTAGGCATGATTGATTAAATCATTGGCCATTGGCGATTGATTCAACCTCCAGCCCCCTCCCCTCCCTGGAGGTCAAGGGGGTGGGACTGAATGTTCCAACCCTCTATTCTTGGTTGATTCCCCTGGCAACCAGCCCTTATCCTTAGGGGTGCTCCAAAAGTCACCTCATTAACATAACAAAAGACACTTTAATTACTCTTATCACTTAGGAAATCCCAAGGGTTTTAGGAGCTCTGTGCTAGAAATGAGACGAAGACCAAATATGTATTTCTTATTATAAGTCACCATATCATAGCTCCTAACTCCACTGTGATAAAATACTGTTTATCTAACAATGGGTCGCCTTTCTGTTTTAACTTGTGACCCATTGGGACTTTAAAGTTTCTCAAATTCTTTAGTTCTCAATTAAGGGTATGTATAGGAATCACATTTTGAGTTTTTTTTTCTTCTTCTTCTTTCCTTTCTTTTTTTTCTTTCTTTCTTTTTTTCTTTCTTTCTTTCTTTTTCTTTCTTCCTTCCTTCCTTTCTTCCTTCCTCCTCCCCTCCCTCCTTCCCTTCCTTTCTTTCTTGAAGTGGTGCTTCTACCGGTGGGGTCCTAGCTTGTGTTTATTTTTAAAGCTCTCTACACAGTTCTAATGTTCACTGCTGATTAAATATTATTTGTCTAATCTGAAGGCCTATGGTCTGGGATGCAAGCCCGGTGTCGCTAGATAATTTAGTAAACTGAATTAGAAACTAGTTTTTCTTAAGAAAAGGCAGAAATTTACCAACAGCAATAAGTAAGAATATAATTTTTTTAAAGAGAAAGTTTTCATAGTGTATGAAGTAGCACCCCCCAGGAGTAATATTGACCAAAAAAAATTTTTTTAATCTTGAGCATTCTTGGTAATACCCTACAATTTGGAGAGAAGCTGTTATGCACTGCATTGTATCCCCTCAAAATGTTGAAGACTTAGCCCCCAATGTGACTCTAATTGAGGATAGGGCCTTTTAAAGAAGTAATTAAGGTTAAATGAGGTCACAAGGATGGTGGGCCCTAATCCAATAGGACTAGTGGCCTTATAAGAAGAGGAAGAGACACCAGGGATGCATGGTTGTTGACAGGGGCTGAATGGAGGGGGAAATGGGGAGTTGTCATTCAATAAAATTTTAGTCGTGCAAGATGAAAAAGTCCTAGAGATCTGCTATACAGCATTGTGCTTATAGTTAGCTATACTCTATTATACACTTAAAAATTTAAGAAGGTAGATCTCATGTTACAATTTTTTTTTACCACAGTAAAAGAATGCTAAAAAGAACATGCCTGAAATATCTGTTCTTTATATATGAGTCTATTTATAGGAGAAATTTCTAGCTGTGGAATTGATAGGTCAACAAGTATTAACATTATTAAATTTTGATAGCTACTGCAAAAACTGCCCTCTAAAGAGGCTGTATATCATTTAATTTTGTTATCTTTGCCAATCTGATAGTTGAAAAATGTTACGTCATTGTTTTAGTTTTCATTTTTTAAATGAGTGCAATTGTTTATACTTACGAGTGATTTGTATTTCTTTGTGAGAGTGCTGCTGGTATATATCTTTGTCCATTTTTCTATTAGATTTTTCTTTTTTATTTGGAATAACTCTTTATTCAATAAATAATTCCTGTCTTTATATATTAAATAAATTTTTAAAAAAGAAATAGTGATATAAAGGAAATTTGTGTCCCTGAAAGAGACCCAAAAAATGAAACGGAAAGTGTATTAAAAGATATAATAGAAGAAAAGTTTGTTGAACTGAAGGAGGATCTGGATTTGCAGATTGGCAAGGTATATAATTGGACAAACAGATACAGATCAATCAGCACTGAGATTTATTGTGGTTATATTGTTGAAATTCAAGAATAATAATTCTTCAGGCATTTGACAGAACATGCAATTGGCTATGAGAAGGTTAAAAAAAAAAATCCAGACAAGCAAAAGCGAGCCAATCATATTACACCCAACCAATTGTTTTCAAGTGTGAAGGCAAAGACAATCATTTTCAAACACAAAAGAACCCAGGGAATTAATTTAAAAAAAAAAAAATACTTGTTGATGAAATCTCACCAAATAAGCAATCAGTTGGGAAGTGGAAATAAGTCTGAGTGCAATCACCTAATATTTCATTCAGAGAAGTCAATCCATGCTACTTCAAATATGTACCTTTATTTAAAAAATAAAGATTTAACTCTTTAATTGCTTTCATAATCTTGAATAATGTTTTAGAAATTAATATCTGTTACCATCAAGGAGCATTTTTCTGAGATTCAGCAACTCCATCAATTATTTTTCTTTTTATTAATTCTAGTAATGATAAATTTACTAGTCATTAAATGATAGCCTTTGTGATAGGATCCATTTCTCATAAAAAAAAGTTCTATCTATTTATCAGTCCATCCACCTACCAAGAATGGCTGGGATGAGGAGTTCCATTATTGCCTCTCTAAAATCTGTTGAGATATGCAGAAAACACTGGTTCAGTAGGTTCCTAACCTTTGACAAAGAACTAATATTTTTACAGCATAAAGCTGCCTTAGTTTTGTGAAATTGTTATTTTAAGATCTTACACGACTTTGCGTTTTGTCAGTAAAACCTCAAACTAAAATAAATTTTGAAGTGGGTAAAGTAGTGGGGAGGGCATGCCTTTCCTCTCAGATATCTTCCTGAGTATTGCTGCCTTAGTATGCCATTGTCTTGACCAATTCGAGAAAGAGATGTGTCTTAAGGGGAGAATTTTTTAGAAGAAGCCAAATCTGTAACTCAGTTTGGCAACAAGTTTATTATATCTTATGTTAGAAATATGGGCAAATCCTCACTTAGATCTTTGTTTACTATGAAATTTCAAATACACATTTATGCCTGGAAGGATCTGACTTTATTCCTTTTGTATTTTAATTACATCTAATAAGTTGTTTCTTTGTAACACATGACTAAGCCATGCTTCTGTTAATGACAAGACTAGTTACACGGACTAGGTTTCCTTATCCGTTTCTCTTGTAAGATTGGAATCATCAGCTGGTAACTTCTTCAGGAGCAAAACCAGGACATTTAGGTGTTATGTAATACACATAGAAGGTGACACAATTGATCTAACAAGATTCAGAAGCATAGCCTCCCCCATTTAATGAACCACTATATGCCAAATGTTATATTTGGCTATAACTTTTGCCTAAATTGGACAAAAGATAGATTTAATGAGACAAAAGAAAAGTTGTTTACAATAACATACATCAGTGCACTATATGCTGTTCTTATGCCTTTGGTGTTTATTCCCTACACTTGTTCCTCCTATTAGAGTCAGGAATGTTTTTAAAAGACTAGTCTTTTACTAGTAGTGGATTTAATACAAATTGTTCTTGAAAAAAACTAAATAAAAAGACTCCTTGATTCTGCACATATTTTTTCCTCCTTCTTTCCAAGTTTTAGTAAAATAGATCATCCTTACTACCTCTTTGTAAATATTTTCTCTTTGGCGTGACTCCTCACCTGCTGTAGGAAATGGTCTAGTAGGGTGGGGACTATGAGAGGTGGCCCACAGCTTAAGTCCAGACATTACTTAGAAAGCTTCACCTGCATCAATCAGAATATGGTATCCAGATCATAGAATGTAATAATCCCATAATTCTTTGCAGTGGCCCTATCCAGCTGTGTTTAGTTCTGGATACCACATTTTAAGAGGGCTCTTTTCAGACTAAAGCATATCCAGAGATAAGCATCAAGGGTGGTGAGGGGTCTATAAATCATATTTTTAAAAAAGCACTTGAGGAAAATGGGAATGTTTAGTCTATAAAATAGCAGAGTTTATAATGGAAATATGAGAACTGTCTTAAATATTTGAAAGGGATAGAATTATTATCCGTGTTTATAGAGCAGTGCTTTTTCAAAGGTAAGTCGCAACCTCTTAGTGGGATGAGAAATCAGTTTCATTGGTCATTATCAACCTTGTTTGTTTAATAAAGTAGAATACACTAGAAAATATCAGAATGCATCACATGAAATAATGGTGCACTTATTTTCTGGAAATTTTATTTTCATTTTCTGTGTGTATAGTGGGTCACGGTGGAATTGTATTCCTTATGATAGAATGGCTACTTGTTATGTGCCTACAATAAAAATAGAATCCACAAACAGTAAAATAATATAAAGAAGAGATGAGAGAGTGGGCAGGGGAGCATGCATGCTATTAATCAGACTTATTAGAAATATGAGCTATCTTCATTGAAGAGCCCATCTCCAAAATAAAACCAACAAAAAGCAACAGTCAAAACTCTTACATCAAGTGTAGAGAATGAGAAAATTGCCATTTAATATTCAGTGGTTTTTATTAAATTAATTTTTTGTTTGTCTTTAGAATGTGTATTAGATGATGAAGAAATTGTAGACGTCTTAAGAAAATCCAAAATGACTTCAAATGAAATTTCGAAGCGCATCAAAGCAACAGAAACAGCAGAAAGCGAAATTCAAGCAACACGTCAAAACTATCTCCCCATTGCCACTCGAGGTGCACTGCTCTACTTTCTAGTGGCTGGTCTTACACAAATCAATTACATGTACCAGTTCTCCCTAGACTGGTTTCGTCAAGTTTTTGTTTCATCAGTTGTTTCCAAAAGCGAAGAACAAGAACGCAGTTTAAAAAGGGAGAAAATGTCTCTGAAAAAAGTTCATGAAATTACAAATCCCTCAGAAGAATCTAAGTTAGACAGTGAGAAAAATCCCTTAGAGAGGCATCTTAAAAATTCAATAGATGTGTTAACAAGAAATATTTTTAAGGTGAGACATTCTTTAATATGAATTTTGCATACTTATTTAATCCAGCTGGGTTAGTCTAACAGTTATGTTTTCCTCATAGGTGGTCTCCTCAGCCCTATTTAATCAACATAAACTTTGCTTCTCCTTTTGGCTTTGCACTACAATCATGCAAAATAATGCTAATGGAAATCTAACACAGGATGACATTGGATCCCTACCAGATGAAGAATGGGACATCTTCTTATATTCTAGCATATTGATAAACATTAAGGGTATAATGCCCCAGCCTAGACTTAGTGGTAAGTGAAAGTAATCGCTCTAGATTTAGTAAAACCTGTTAAAAACATGTTTCCTCGAAAAATACTAAAAGATTTCTAAGGTGCTCCAAGTCAATGCTTCTATACTGATTAAACTAAAAGCAGCTTGAGGTCAAGTGCGATGTCTAATTCATCATCGTATCCCCTACACTGTTGAGCATACAATTGGTACTCAATAATTTTTGAATGAATGAATAAATAAATGACAATTGCTATGGTTATTATAATACTAATCTACAAAGCAGAATACCTAATGCTAGTCATTAGGGACACACACGCACACAAGCATATTGATTAAATACAGGAGTTAAACTTTACCCCTCATAACTACAGTTGCCCTCAGTTTCTTATGAGAATTCCTTGAAAATTTGAACCACAAAAATCATTCTCATCTAAAAACATTAGGCAAAATCACTTTAAGTATTGAATCTTTTCAAATGCTCCTGTGTTGTACATTTTTAAATATATTTATTTTTTAACTTGTGGTAAAATACACATAACATAGAATTTACCATCTTAACCATTTTTAAGTGTACAGTTCAGTGGCATTAAGTAAAGTTCACATTGTTGTGCTGTGTTGTAATTTTATGTCACAAAAAATATAAAGTTAAAGGAAGTCTGACATTCTCACTGAGGAGGAAAAAGTGGTGATTTGGGGTAGCCTTTGTCAAGTATTCTAAGACTATTAGCAAAGACTAGAAGTCAGAATGAAAACATGAAAAGAGTTGCTATGGAGGATACCAGACATTTGGATAGTTTGGTTTCTTTTTTTGTTTCTTTTTACTTGTACCAAAGCCTGGTATACAGTAGGTGTTTGGTAAATGACTGTTGAATCAATGAATGTTCTTATAAATTTATTAAGGTTCTTTTGCTTGCAAAAAAACAGACAACAATAACTCAATAGCTTAAATTAAAGAAAAATATCAAAATTTTTGGAAGGGTTTTGGGGTACCTCAGAAAAACTCAAGGAAAATGTGAACAGCCAAGCACTAATGTGAGAAGAACTAGTGACTACTATTAACATAAGTAAGCTTCTAACAGTTCTCAGACTCTGTGCTTCAGCGTTCTAGACTCCATATTTTCAGGAGGGTGAATCTGAGTGTCACAGCCCTGGTCAGGAGTCTATTCCTGAACCACTCAACTATGACCAAGAGACAAAGTCATGCAGCAAAATGGGCAGCCAAAAGTTCATCTTGGGCAGCCAATCCAAGAGGTGTCTACTGCACTTGGAACCATTAAAACATCCCCAGTGTACTTAAAGAAACAACAACAAAGAAATTTAACAGCTTCCAGTTTTTTTATTATACAAGCAATATGTGTTTATTATAAAAACCAATAGAACCTACAGATAAGCAAAAAGAAGAAAATAAATCTTCTGTAATGCCACCATCCAGAAATAACTACTATTAGTATTACTGTTTTTTCTTTCCACTATTGTTCCTCTATATATGTATCTTCTTTACATATATTCACATTCATATATGAATATTCATTTATATTCTTTAAAGGAAAAGGTGACTTTGCTATACAGACTTATGCCTGCTTTTTTTCAAGTTAATATGTCAAAAATAGCTTTCTATGTGAATAAATATACTTAGACTCTTTATTTAATGTCTGCACATTCCAATTTTTGAATGTACCAAAATTTATTTAATCACTGTCTTAAGTTAGAGACCTAAGTCTTTCCCAATTTTTTCTGACACTGAACAGTAAGCACTATGATGAACAACAAAGAAAGAGTCTTAATCTTTCCTGGATTCTAGTTTTAATAAAATATTACAATTTTTAAAACTTAAATCTCCTTTAAAAATTACCTTTTATGGAGAGAAGAATGACATCAGCAAGATGGCAGACTAGAAAGTTACATAATCTCCTTCCCCCACAGAGACGCTGTGTTAACAACAAGATCCAGACCAGACTATCTCTGTGAGAACTCTAGAGACCTGTTCAGAAGCTACAGCACCCAGGCCATTGTAAAACCAAGAAGAGATTCCAGCAAAAGGGATAGGAAAATTCATGTTATTTGACATGGCTCTCGGTGTCTTAGCACAGAGCAACCAAAAGGAAACTCCCCATAATGGGGCACTTCCCTTAGGATGGAACAAAGTTATGGACCATGTGTCCAACATTCTGGCTTTTCTAGGGGCTGCCCAAGAGACTGCCTGATTGGGAACAGCAACAGGACTGGCATCAGAGGTTGGAAACCACTGAAAACAGGCAAGCATATGAGAGCTACACTTCCACAGATAGACACAGGAGAGGCAAGAGATCAGAAAAAGTTTGAGAGGTTCTAGAACCTACAGCGGGTTGATTGGTGAAGGTCTTCCCCTGCACAAAGCCAGTACTCAAAGACTGGGAGAGGTGTTTGTTTTTTCAAATTCCCAATCCCAGCAGAGAATTACAAGGCATGCAAAGAAACAGAGAAACATAGCCCAATCAAAGGAGCAAAATAAAGCTTCAGAAATCAACCTTAAAGGGATGCAGATCTATAAGCTCCCTGATAAAGAATTTAAAATAACTGTCATAAAGATGCTCCAGGAGCCAAAAAGAAAACACAGAGAGACAACTAAATGAAATCAGGAAAACAATGCATGAACAGAATCAAAATATCAACAAAAAAACTATAAAAAAGAATGAAACAGAAATTCTGGAGTTGAAAAATACAATAACTGAACTGAAAAATTCATAAGAGGGATTCAACATCAGACTTGATCAGGCAGAGGAAAGAATCAGCGAACTTGAAAACAGGGCATTTGAAATCATTGGGTCAGAGAAGCAAAAAAAAAAAAAAAAATGAGGAAAAGCAAAGAGAGTCTAAGGGACTTATGGGTCGCTATTAAGCAAACCAATATATGCATTAGGGAATCTTAGAAGGAGAAGAGAGAGAGAAGGGGGCAAGAGCCAATTTGAAAAAATAATAGCTGAAAAATTCCCAAATCTGAGGAAAGAAATGGACATGCAGATTCAAGAAGCTCAAAGAACTCCAACAAAGATAAGTCCAAAGAGAAGCATACTGAGATACATTATAATCAAACTGCCTAGAGTCAAAGACAAAGAGGGAGTCTTGAAAGCAGCAAGAGAAAAGTGATTTGTCACGTACAAGGGAGCTTCCACAAGATTATCATCAAATTTCTTAGCAGAAACTTTGCAAGCCAGAAGGAAGGGATAATATTCAAAGTGCTACAAGAAAAAAAAACTGTCAACCAAGAACATTATATTCAGCAAAACTATACTTCAAAAATGAAGGAGAAATTAAGACTTTCCCAGATAAACAGAAGTTGAGAGAGTTCATTACCACTAGATCTGCTCTGTAGTAGCTAAAGGAAGTCCTTCGAGTTGAAACAAAAAGATATTGACAGCAACATAAAGCCATATGAAAATAGATGCTTCTATGGTAAAAGTAAATAAATTTAAAAATATAGTAACCTGTACTATTGTAATTTTGGTGCATAGAATTTAAGTGACAAAAACATTTTTAAAAACTATAAATCTAGGTTAATGGGTATACAATCTATAAAGATGTAGTTTGTGACATCAATAACATAAAGTGTTGCAGGAACTGTAAAGGAATAGAGTTTTTGCATGTGATTGAAGTTAGGTTCTTATTGGTTTAAAATAGAATGCTATACCTTTAAGACGTTTTATGTAATTGCAATCGTAGCTGTCATGGTTAGTTTTATGTGTCAATTTGACTGGGATAAGGGATGCCTAGAGAGCTGGTAAAACATTACTTCTGGGTGTGTTTGTGAGAGTGTGTTCAGAAGAGATTAGCATTTGAATTGAAAATCACCCTCACCAATGCAGATGGACATCATCCAACCCCTTCAGGGCCTAACAAGAGCAAAAAGGCTGAGGAAGGATGAAATTTCTCTCTTTGCTTGAGCTTCATCCTCTCCTGCCCTCAGATATCATCACTCCTAGTTCTTAGATCTTTGGACTCAGACCAAGAATTACACCATTGGCTCCCCTGGTTCTCAGGCCTTTAGACTTAGACTGAATTACGCCATTAGCTTTCCTGGTTCTCCAGCTTGAATATGGCAGATCATGGGACTTCTCAGCCTCCATAATCATGTGAGCCAATTCCTATAATAAATCTCTTCATAAATATTTTTATATATCCTATTAGTTCTGTTTTTTTTTTTTTGGAGAACCCTGACTAATAAAAAAAAAATCTATCAAGCCTACACAAAAGGAAACAAGAAGAGAATCAAGGAATATCACTATGAAAAATCAATGAAATACAAAGGAAGGCAGTAAGGTACAAAAGGAGGAAGATAAAAGCTATAAGATACACAGAAAACAATTTAAAAATGGCAATAGTGAGTTCTTCCCTATCAATAATTAAATGTAAATTGATTAAATTCCCTGATCAAAAGACATAGATTGGCTTAATAGATAAAAAACAGGATCCATCTATATTCTCTCTATAAGAGACTCACTTTAGGTTTAAGGATACACATAGGCTGAAAGTGAAAGGATGGAAAAAGATTCCAAGCAAACAGTAACCAAAAGAGAGTAGAAGTGGCTACACTGATACCAGGAAAAATATATTTTAAGTCAAAAACTGTTACAAGAGACAAAGAAGGACATTATATAATGATAAAAGAGTCAGTTCATCAAGAAGATATAATAATTATAAATTTTTATGCACCAAACCTCAGAGCTCCTAATTATATGAAGCAAACATTGACAGAATTGAAGGGAGAAATAGATAGCCACACAGCAATAGTAAGAGACTTCAATACCCCACTTTCAATAATGGATAGAACAACCAGACACAAGATCAATAAGGAAATAGAGGACTTGGAGAATACTATCAACCAACCGGACCTAACTGGCATACACAGAACACTCCACTCAACAACAGCAACACTCCTGGATACATTCTTCTCAAGTGCACGTGGAACATTCTCCAGGATAGACCACATGTAAGGCCACAAAACAGGTCTTAACAAATTCAAGAAGATTGAAGTCATATAAAGTATCTTTTCTGACCACAATGGAATGAAATTAGACATCAATAGCACATGAAAAATCCAAAAATATGTGGAAATTAAACAACATACTCTTAAACAACTGGTGGGTCAAAGACGTCACAAGGGAAATTAGAAAATATGTTGAGACAAATAAAAATGAAAACACAACATAACAAAACTTATGGAATACAGCAAAAGTAGTACTAAGAGAGAAGTTTATAGCTATAAATGCATACATTAAAAAAGATCTCAAATAAACAACCTAACTCTACAGCTCAAAGAGTGAGAGAAAAAAGAACAAACTAAATACAAAGCTAGCAGAAGGAAGCAAATAATAAAGATTAGAGCAGAAATAAACAAAATAGAGAATAAAAAATAGAAAAAATCAGCAAAACTAAGAATTGTCTTCTTGAAAAGATCAACAAAATTGATAAACTCTCAGCTACATTAAGAGAGAAGACTCAAATAACTAAAATCAGAAATGAAAGAGGGGACATTAAAACTGATATCACAAAAATACAAAGGATCATTGGAGACTACTACGAACAATTATATGCCAACAAATTGAAAACCTAGAAGAAAGGGAAACATATAATCTAACAAGATTGAATCATGAAGATATAGAAAATTCAAACAGACTTATAACAAGTAAGGAGATTGAGTCAGTAATCAAAAATCTCCCAGCAAAGAAAAGTCCTCGGCCAGATGGCTGCACTGGAAAATTCTACCAAACATTTAAAGAAGAATAAACACCATTTCTCCTGAAACACTTCAAAAAAATTGAAGAGGCAGGAACACTTCCAAGCTCATTCTGTGAGACCGGCATTATTCTGATACCAAAGCCAAACAAAGATGCTATAAGAAAACTAGAGGCCAATATTCCTGATGACTATAGATGCAAAAATCCTCAACAGAATATAGCAAACCAAATTCAGTACACCATGACCAAGTGCAATTTATTCCGAGGATGCAAGACTGGTTCAACACAAAAAAATCAATCAATGTAATAACCACATTAACAGAATGAAGGACAAAACCACATGACCATCTTAACTGATGCAGAAAAAGCGTTTGATAAGATCCAACATTCTTTCATGATAAAAACACTCAAAAAATTGGGAATAGAAGGAAACTGTCTCAACATAATAGAAGTCTTTTATGAAAAGCCCACAGCTAACATCATACTCAGTGTTGAAAAACTGAAAGCTTTTCTCTAAGATCAGGAACAAGGCAAGGATGCCCTCTCCTTTCACCACTTCTATTTAACGTGGAAGTTCTAGCCAGAGCATTAGACAATAAAAAGAAATAAAAGGTGGGGCCGGCCCGGTGGCGCAAGCGGTTAAGTGTGTGCGCTCCGCTGGGGCGGCCCAGGGATCGCCAGTTCGGATTCCAGGCGCGCACCGACGCACTGCTTGGCAAGACGTGCTGTGGTGGTGTCCCATGTAAAGTGGAGGAAGATGGGCACCGATGTTAGCTCAGGGCCAGTCTTCCTCAGCAAAAAAAGAGGAGGATTGGCAGATGTTAGCACAGGGCTGATCTTCCTCACAAAAAAAAAAAGAAAGAAAGAAAAGGTATCCAAATTGGAAAGGAAGAAGTAAAAATTATCTCTGTTCACAGATGACATGATCTTATATATAGAAAATCCTAAAGAGTCCACAAAAACAGTTAGAAGTGGTAAACAAATTCAGCAAAGTTGCAAAATACAAAACCCATATAGAAAAATCGGTTGCATTTCTATATACTAACAACAAATAATATGAAAAGAAAATTAAGAAAACAATCCCATTTACAGTAGCATCAAGAAGAATAAAATACTTAAGAATAAACCTAACCAAGGAGGTAAAAGACTTGTACATTGAAAACTACAAAACATTGCTGAAAGAAATTAAAGAAAACACAAATAAGTGGAAGACATCTCATGTTCACGGACTGGCAGACTTAATATTGTTAAGATGTCCGTACTAACCCAAAGCAATCTACAGATTCAGTGCAATCACTATCAAAATCCTAAAGGCATTTTTTGCAGAAATAGAAAAATTCTTTCTAAAATTCATATGGAATCTCAAGGGACTTTGAACAACCAAAACAATTTTGGAAAAGAACAAAGTTGGAGTCATCACACTTCCTGGTTTCAAGCTATATTGTAAATCTACAGTGATCAAAACAGTCTGGTACTGACATAAAGACAGACAAACAGACCAATGGGACAGAATATAGAGCCCAGAAATTAACCCACATGTATATGGTCAAACGACCTTTGACAAGGGTGCAAAGACCACTCAATGGGGAAAGGACAGTCTCTTCAACAAATAGTGCTTGGAAAACTGGATATCCATATGCAAAAAAATGAAATTGGACTCTTATCTTATACCACATACAAAAATCAACTCAAAATGGATTCAAGACCTAAACATAACACCTAAAATTATAAAACTCCTAGAAGAAAATGTAATGAAAAAGCTTTGTAACGTTGGACTTGACAATGATTTCTTGGATATGACACCAATGCACAGGCAACAAAAGCAAAAAGAGACAAATGGGACTACGTCAAACTTAAAAACTTTTGTGCATCAAAGGACACAATCAACAGAGTAAAAGGGCAATCTATGGAATGGAAGAAAATATTTCAAATCATATATGTGATAATGAGTTAATATATAGAATATATAAAGAACTCCTACAACTCAACAACAAAAAATCAACCCAATTTAAAAATAGGAAAAGGACTTGAATAGATATTTCTCCAAAGATGTTATACAAATGGCCAAAAAGCATATGAAAAGATGTTCAACATCGCTAATCACCAGGAATTGCAAATCAAAACCACAATGAGGTGTCATCTCACACCGATTAGGATAGCTACTCTCAAAAAAAATAGAAAATAACAAGTGCTGACAAGGATGTGGAGATATGGAACCCTTGTGCACTGTAGGTGGGATTGTAAAATGGTGCAACTGTATGGAGGTTCCTCAAAAAATTAAAAATAGAACTTACCATATGATCCAACAATCCCACATCTGGTTATATCCAAAGGAATTGAAAGCAGGGTCTCAGAGAGATATTTGCACACTTCTGTTCATAGCAGCACTATTCACAATAGCCAACAGGTAGAAGCAACCCAAATGTCCATTGATGGATGAATGGATAAACAAAATGTAGTATATACATACAAAGGAATATTATTCAGCCTCAAAAAGGAAGGAAATGCTGTCACATGCTACAACATGGATGAATCCTGAGGACATTATGCTAAGTGAAATAAGCCAATCACAAAAAGACAAATACTGTTTGATTCCACTTATATGAGCTATCTAAAGAAGTCAAATTCATAGAAACAGAAAGTAGAATGGTGATTACCAGAGGCTGGGGGGAGGGGGAATAGGGCTGTTTAATGGGTATAAAGTTTCAGATTTGCAGAAAAAGTTCTGGAGATCTGTTTCACAACAATGTGAATATACTTAACACTACTGAACTGCACACGAAAAGATGGTCAAGATGGTAAATTTTATATGTGTTTTTACCACAATAAAAAATTAACTTTTATGTAATTAATTTTTATATAAAATGGCTTTTCCTGAACAACAAATATTTATTAAGCATCTACTTTTAATGAGTAACGAAAAGGTAAAGAATATATCTCTTCTAATGTGATCATTTTTTATTTTCTATTAGGCATATATGAAATCTGTAGAAATCGACATCTTCAGTGGTTGTCGGATTCCAGGTGGAAGGAGTGCCAATATGTCAGTGGTGAACTAGCACCATTTTCTCTTCTATGCAAATCCCTTTTATCAAATGTATCACAATGGAATGCTTTTAATAACAGTAAGGATGTATATTTTCTGATGAGCATACCTTTCTCTTCAGAAAACACTTCATTGGAAAAAAGTAAGAAATCACCAGAGGAAAGTAAGAAAACATTCAATATTTTAATCTAGTTTAATTACGTATATGTGTACGTAGATTATCAATTTATGAATGTAATTCAATATCTTATATTATGAAAAATTGAAGGGTGGAACATAACTATATTATAAGCACATCTCATGTTATTTAATGTTATCCTCACAAGAATATTGTGAAATGATTATGAACATCATTGTTGTTGAGAAACTCTAAGTCAAAACTTCAGAGATAAAATAAACCACACTAGTTTCATTATGCCACACTAGTTTTGAATCTTGAATCTGAACAAGCCTACATATATAACAGATATATATTTTATATAATAATGTGTTTTATATGTTGTTTTATATAACAGATATGTGTTTTAAAAATTACCCAGGAAATAGAACTTACTATAAATGCCTTGCTATTTTTAGAACCTCCTTTCCTTTTTGTTTTTGCACTTTGAACTCTCCTCAATTTTCTGTGTCATTTCCACCCACATCACCCCATTCAGAATACAACCTGATTTGTTTCCTTCCACATTTTTCTCCATTTTGCTTCCAGATTTTTGCCACAATATACAATTATGTTATGCAATAATATAAATATCCTTAAACATATTTCCTTTGCTTCTATTTCTATGGGATGGATAGCCAGAAGTGGAATTGCTGGTCAAAAGTATATTCTTTTTATGTTAATAGTTGCTGCCAGGTTGCTTTTTCTTAAAAGTCCATGATAATTTATATTTCCACCAGCAATGTATGAGTGCCCCTTTTCTAAGAGGAGTCGTGGTTTTTTTTTTAACTTTTGCCAATCTGAGAAGTACTTTAATTTGAATTTCCCTGATTACTGCCAAGTTTAAGTACCTTATCACCATGTTCGTTGACCATTTGGATTTGCTCATTCATGTACTTTGCCCATTTTTCTACTACATTGTTTATCTCTTTTTTGTCCATCTGTAAGTACTCAATTAGTGTCATAGATGATTAACTTTTTGTTTTGTTAAAGGTGTTAACCTATTCATTCAAATATTTTTCGAAATCTGTTGTCTATTGAATTCGTTTATAGTACCTGTCCCATACAACCTTTAAATGTTTGTGTAGTCAGTTACATCTATTTGTTTTCCTGTTCTAGCTTCTTGATTTCCAATTCTGGTTAAGAAGTTCTCCTCCTCCCCTAGAGTTTTCTCTCTGGGTCATTATTGTTTTATTTTGTTGCATTTGTCACAAATCTATCTTGGATTTATTTTTTTTTTTTTAATTTTTTGTTTATTGCAGTCACATTGGTTTATAACATTGTATAAATTTCAGGTGTACATCATTATACTTCTATTTCTGCATAGATTACATCATGTTCACCACCAAAATACTAATTACAAC